CCCTCCAAGCAGAGGTCAGGTCTCTCTTTATCGGACGAGGGGAGAGGGGCCCCATTTGCTCTCACCTTGCATCCGCGTGAGTACGTGTCTGGCGCGGATGATCAGGGCTCCAGGGCTCGAGTTACGTGTGAGTTGCAGAGCCCCCCCCCCCCCCCCGTGCGTGCCGCCCCACGCGCATACTCTTTAATCACTCGACTGTTGAGCAGCTGACGACGGCCCATCGACTAGGCGCTGCTCGCCTACTTTGAATGGATGAATGAATTAATTAACCCATCGACTAGGCGCTGCTCGCCTACTTTGGCGCGCTGCCGCGCGGTGTGCGGGGCCTCCCACCCAGCAGCCGCGGGTACGCCTCCGCACCCTGGCAAGCGGCCATCTCGCGCCTGCTCCGCGAGCCCCCGCTGGCGGCGAGGCTGAGCGAGCTCGAGGTGCGGCTGCTGCACCAGCCGCCGCTGCCCGAGGGCGAGCTGCTGCGCTCGCTCAACGCAGCGGTCGTCGGGCTCGCGGCGCGGGGCGGCGAGGGGGAGGCGGATGAGTGCCTCGGGCTCGGCATCGTGCGCGCCGTCGACCCCGCGAGCGAAAGCTTGCTCCTCGTCACGCCCGTGCCGCCCGCCGCGCTGGCCCGGGCGGCGGTGTTGCTACGCGGCTCGCTCGAGCTGCCGGTGGCGCTGCTGCAGCCGACGCCGCTCACGCCCGCGTCGCCCTACCTCGGCGCCAACGCGCTGCGCGGCGCTGGCGCGGGCAACAAGCAGATGCGCTCGCGGAACAACATCAAGCGGGCGAGCACGCCGCGGGGCTGAGGGGCAGGGGCGGTTCATCGTCGTGTGTGTACGGTCACTCGATACGGTCACGGGTGGCTGAAAGAACTGAAAGAGGGGGTCAGATGTGTCACAGTGATAACTGATATCTCAGACTGACCAGTGTCCCCGGGAGTGTGCAGTGCAGTGAAACACTGAAAACGAAGCTGTGAACGAAGTGTGCGCCGCGCGCGCCCGGACGACTGGGCGTGGTGGGTCTCGCTCGCCTTTTCGTTTTTTCGGACGCTTCTGAGTTCTGACTTCTGTAAGAAACACGACGTAAACACACAACCCCTGAAAGAGCAAACTGTAAGACATGGCAGTCGCGCTGCCTCGGCTGCGTACAAGTGGGCAAAGAGAGAGAGTGGGAAACGGGCGCGGGCGACGCGCTCAAAGTCTGCTGTGCGGGCACAAAGGCAACTCGCTTAAGATCTCCATGCTGCATGCAAGTGGAGTACACCGACCGCTCAGGTCAGTCGCCAGGACTGTACGCCGGCGACGTCGGGCTGTAGGCCGGCGACGTCGGCGAGTACGCCGGCGACGTCGGCGAGTACGCCGGCGACGTCGGGCTGTACGCCGGCGAGGTCGGGCTGTACGCCGGCGACGTCGGGCTGTACGCCGGTGACGTCGGGCTGTAGGCCGGCGAGGTCCTATAGGGTGCAAACCATCCGGGCGTGAGAACGAGTGGGACTCCGTCGCGTCTTCCCGCGGCGAGAAGGCGCACGGGCTGTACGCGGGCGAGGTCGGCGAGTACGCCGGCGACGTCCTACAGTGCAACCCATCAAACGTGCGAACGAGTGGGACTCGGATCGTGCCGTCTCGCCGAGTGAGGAAACGCACGGGCTGTACGCGGGTGACGTCGGCGAGTACGCCGGAGAGGTCCTGCGAACAAACCACTCGTGAGGCGAGAGGGTCTCGGAGGCGCGCTTCTCCTCCGCAGCAGCGAGGCGCACGGGCTGTAGGCAGGCGAGGTCGGCGAGTAGCTCGGCGAAGTCCTACAGTGCAGCGGCCATTCCAGCGTGAGACAAGTGTGGCTCCGCCCGCCTCTCTTTGCGCCGGAAGAGGCGCACGGGCTGTAGCTCGGCGACGTCGGGCTGTAGCTCGGACTGGTCGGGCTGTAGCTCGGACTGGTCGGCGAGTAGCTCGGCGAGGTCCTATTTAGCCCAAGAGTCGGGCGTGCGACGAGCGGGACTCCGTCGCGCCCCTTCTCCTCCGAGGTATGGCGCACGGGCTGTACGCGGGCGAGGTCGGCGAGTACGCCGGAGACGTCCTGCAGTGCAACCCATTCGGGCGTGAGACCGAGCGGGCTCCCCCCTCCCCCCCTCCGCGGCGGCGAGAGGCGCACGGGGAGTAGGCCGGGCTCGTCGGCGAGTAGCCCGGCGAGGTGGGCGAGTAGGACGGCGAGGTGGCCGCGTAGGCGGGGCTCGTCGGGGAGTACGCCGGGCTTGTCGGCGAGTAGCTCGGCGACGTGGGCGAGTAGGACGGCGACGTCGGGCTGTAGTTGCCATCGCCGCCGCCGCCGCCGCCGTGGAAGGGCGAGAAGCCGCCGTCGCCCGGCCCGGGAGAGAAGGCGGCGCCGCCGGGGCCGGGCGAGAAGGCGGCGCCGCCGGGGCCGGGCGAGAAGGCGGGCGTCATCCCGCCGATGAAGGGCGACTGCGAGTAAGGCGTCATCCCGCCCGGCGTCATCGCGCCGACCGCGCCGGGAGACATGCCGGCGAGGCCGTCGCCGTCGAAGAGAGGGTCAAAGTCGGTGGGCTGCGCCAGCTCGAGCATGTCGGTGTTGAGGAAGAGCTCAAACTCGCCGGTGCCGATCGGCGCGAGCTGGCCGAGCATGATGTTCTCCGAGACGCCCTGCATCAGGTCCGCCTCGGAGAAGCAGGCCGCCTCCATCAGCACGTCGACCGTCTCCTCGAAAGAGCAGCGCGCGAGGGCGCCGTTGTCGACGCGGTTGATTCCGTGGCGCGTGACCGAGAGCAGGTGGCCGCGGTACGTCATCACGTCGCACAGGATGGCCAGGTGGCGGTAGTTGACGTACGAGCCGTCAAACTCGATCACCGAGCGCAGCTCGCCGAGCAGCGCCTGCCGCACCGCCTCGACCCCGAGGTTGCGGATGATCTCGCAAATGTCGTTCGACATGAGCCGCGTGTGGTCGATCCGCCGGTCGGCCGACGCGACCGCCGAGAAGTTGATCCCCTCCGTGTCGAGCACCCACTCGGTCACCATGCCGAGCGCGCCTATGGGGAGAGTTGCGAGGAGGCTCCGGGAGGGGCTCCCAGAGGCATCCACCCCGCCGCCGCGCCAAGCGCGCCCGTCACAGGGTCGACGTGCTCGCGCTTCGGCTCGCGCATGAAGACGCGCTTGATCTTCTCGATGCCGCGCAGCGTCATCTCGGAGAGCATGTTCTGCTCGATGCGCTGCAGGAAGGTGTGCTCGACGTCCTCGTCCCCCTCCGCCTCCGCCTCCTTGTCCGCCTCGCTGTTGACGAGCCGCACGCGCAGCACCAGCCGGTCGTCGTTGTCCTCCGAGTGGATGACGTGCAGCTCGTCGCTGCCGTACTCGGCGGAGATGCACTTCACGATGTCCTCCATCAGCAGGTTCTTGTCCGCCATCGCCTCCATGTCGAGCTCGATGCGCAGCACCCACGGCGAGATCTTTGAAAAGTCGATCTCCTCGAACGAGGTGTCGTAGTACAGACGCACGAAGTCCTCGTCCTCCTCCACCACCGTCGCGCGCTCCGCCTCGAGCGGCCGCAGCGGGTCGTACCAGATCTCGGTCTGCCTCGTCACCGAGCCGAGCGTCGTGTGCTCGAGGATCGACTGCACCTCCTTGGCCGCCTCCGAGTCGCGCGCAAACTCCTCGCGCAGAAACACGGTGAGCGACGGCGTCTTTGGCCGCTTGGAGACGTTGATGATCTCCTTGAGGCGCGGCACGCCGAGCGTGACGTTCTTGGCCGACACGCCGGCGTAGTGGAAGGTGTTGAGCGTCATCTGCGTGGCGGGCTCGCCGATCGACTGCGCGGCCAGAGCGCCCACCATCTCGCCCGGCTGGCATCGGTGCTGCAGGAAGCGCGACTCCACCTCGCCGAGCAGCCAGTCGAAGGCCTGCGGCGTGAGGCGGTGCTCGACCAGCACGCGCCTACGGGGGCGACGGCCGCCGGCGTGTCGCGGGCGTGCCGCCGGCGCGGGGGGCGGGGGGCTCGGCCCGCCACGCGCTTGGAGGCGAGCTGCGAGCGCAGCAGCGAGAAGAAGTTGTACGTCGCGTTGTACTGCGCCTCGACGGAGAGGGCGTCGGTGCCCTTGACGACGACGAGCTTGTCGAGGAGCGAGCGCACCTTCTTGACGATGTCGATCGGCTTGAGGTCGGACGGCTTGGACGCGTCCACCGGGTAGAGCCCCTGCGCCTTGCGCAGCAGCCGGTTCATGTTGACGGGCGAGGGCGGGTCCGCCTTGCCCTTGGCGAAGGGGCCGAGCCGCGGGTCGGTGAGGAGGCGGCGGTCCTCGAGCAGCTGCTCGAACTCCTGCCGCAGCTCCTCCTTGGCCAGCGGGTCGCGCTTGAGCTCCTCGGCGAGGCCGGGCCGCATCCACGGCTGGCCGACGGGCGACTCGTGGACGCGGCCGTAGTTTGGGTCGTCAAACTTGTGCTCGAACATCTTGCGCAGCTTGTCGATGTGCATGCCGACGTGCGCGATCTTCTGGTTCTCCAGCCGCACCGCGTCCATCCCGTCCTCGCCGTACAGGAACTGGAGCACCTCGCCCTGCGAGTTGCGCACCGTGCCGTCGTACTTGACCGTCACGCCCTCCATCGCCTTGACGAGCCGCCGCTGGATGTAGCCCGTCTCGGCGGTCTTGACGGCGGTGTCAATCAGGCCCTCGCGGCCGCCCATCGCGTGGAAGAAGAACTCCTGCGGGGTGAGGCCGCGCAGGTACGAGTTCTCGACGAAGCCGCGAGACTCGGGCCCATAGTCGTCCTTGGTGAAGTGCGGCAGCGTCCGGTTGAGGAAGCCGTACGGGATGCGCTTGCCCTCGACGTTCTGCTGGCCAACGCAGGCGATCATCTGCGAGATGTTGATGAAGGACCCCTTCGAGCCGGTGGTGACCATGTTCTTGACGTTGTTGGTCTCCTTGAGCGACTTTTGCGCCGAGGTGCCCGCCTTGTCGCGCGCCTTGTTGAGCACCTGGTTGACGTTGTTCTCAAACGACTCGAGGATGGTGCGGCCGGGCTGGCACTCGAGCTTGTTGTTCTGCGCCTTCTCGACGAGCTTCTTCACCTCCCGCTTGGAGTCGTCGATGGTGGCGACGATGTCGTCCATCGTCTTTGCGTCGGCGATCGTGTCGCCGATGCCGATCGAGTAGGAGCGGTGCAGGATCCAGTAGTTGACGAGCCGCTGGTGCGCGCCGATGAAGGCGCGCACGCCCTGCGGCCCAAACTCGTTCGCGATGGTGTGGATCACGCCGCCCGCGCCGGTGCCGAGCGACTTTTTGTCGAGCATGCCGCAGAGCAGCTCCCCGCGGTCGATGACGACGCGCGTGTCGCCCGGCGAGAGCTCGTCGGTCTCGTCGTCGGGGTGGCCTACACGGCACGGAGGAGGGGCGGCTCGGGGCGCGGCGGTCCGGCGGGGGCCGCGTATACCCTCTCTTCAGCGTCGGGGCGGCCGTTGGCGAAGCGCGCCATCGAGAAGTCGGGCAGGATGAGGGACTGCGCCTGCTTGCCCGTCCAGAGCGGCTCGGGCTTGAGGATGGCGGGCACGGGAAGCTTGCCGGTGAAGGTGTCGAGGTGCATCACCAGGTTCATCATCATGTCCTTGCGGAGGAAGGTGTCGCGCTTGGTGAAGCCGCGCGAGCCGAGCAGGGTGTCCTGCACGATGCCCATCACGGGCTTGTTGGACTGGGGCGAGACGACGCAGCGCGCGACCGACATGATCTCGGACGCCTCCGCGCGCGTCTCCATGGACTGCATCACGTGCAGGTTCATCTCGTCGCCGTCGAAGTCGGCGTTGTACGGCGTCGTCACGGAGAGGTTGAGGCGGAAGGTGGAGTAGGGCATGATCTTGACCCGGTGCGACATGATGGACATCTTGTGCAGCGACGGCTGCCGGTTGAACATGACGATGTCCCCGTCCTCGACCATCCGCTCCACCTGCAGTTGCACACCCGCCCGCTCGGCGTGAGGCGGCGCGATGGGGCGGCGGCAGCGCTCCCGTCCGTGCGCGCCTTGTAGCCGTACTGGAGGTGCTTCTGCACGCTCGGCATGCGCAGGTCGAGCCGCATCCCGTCGGAGCGGATGATGTACCGAGCCCCTGCGGCACGACGAGTGCGGCGCGATGAGGCGGGGGCGGCGCGGGTGAGGCGGCAGAGGGGGGGGGGGGGGGGGGCAGCTCTGCTCTGCTCGTGGCAAGAGCGAGCAAAGGAGCGCTCTCTCCCCGTCTCCCCTCCGCCCCCCTCTGGCGCGCGCGGGCGGCAGGTCTCGCGCGCGGGCGGCGGGTCTCGCGCCTGGCAGCTCGAGCGGCCCGTTGTCGACCAGCTCTTGCAGCCGGTCGATGTTGAAGGGCGTGACGACCTCGGGGTACGTCAGGTTGCGGGCAATGGTGCGCGGGACGCCAACCTCGTCGATGGCGAGGTTCGGGTCGCCGGTGATGACCGTGCGCGCGGAGAAGTCGACGCGCTTCCCCATCAGGTTGCCGCGCACGCGCCCCTCCTTGCCCTTGAGCCGCTGCGAGATGGACTTGAGCGGGCGGCCCGAGCGGGTGGTTGCGGGCTGCACGCCGGGGAGCGTGTTTGTGACCAGGGTGGCGAGGTGGTACTGCAGGAGGGAGACGTGCTGCAGCACGATGTGGTTCGGCGCGCCGTTCCGCTCCTGCTCCTTTAGCGACCGGTTCGTCCGCACCTGCAGGCCCGCGCCGCGCCGCGTTCAGGGCGGGTGCGCTGCTGGTGCTGCCGGCGGCGGCGGGAGCGGCGGCGGGTGCGGCGCCGCAGAGCGCGGTCGCGGCGTGTGTGCGGGAGGAGGCGCGCGCGCGGGCGACGGGGTGTGCGGGCAGCGCACGATGTCCATCAGCTTGACGGTCAGGTCGTCCTCGCCCCGCCCGCCCGCCCCCTCCATCTGGATGGAGGGGCGCACTTGCGGCGGAGGGACGGGCAGCACCGTGATCACCATCCAGTCGGGGCGCGCGTTCTCGGGGTCGAAGCCGAGGCGGCGCGCGTCGACGTCAGAGATGCCCTTGAGGATCTTGTGCGCCCGCTCCGCCGTCAGCTCCAGCTTCTTCTCGTGGTCATCCGTCGCCTGCGGCGGTGATGGGCAGTTGCGTGATGTGAGGTGTGACGGAGCGGTGGTGAGCGAGGGAGGACAGCGGGCGGCCCCTCCCGGATCGAGCGGTGAGCGGTGGGCGGTGGGCGGTGGGCGGTGGGCGGCGGCGGCGGTACCTCCTTGAACTCTGCGCGGATCATCAGCCCGTCCTTCTTGAAGGTCGGCTGGGGCGTAGAGCAGGACCAGCAGACAGACTTGGACTTTGCAATGTCCATCACGGCGCGGAGCCGCCGCTCGGGCTTCTTGACGCGCGTGGCGCGCGAGATGCGGAGCGCGTCACCCGAGAGCTGGCCCGTCGCGGGGTCGGGCGGCTCGTCGCCGAGGATCACAGAGCAGGAGAAGCAGACGCAGCGGAGCGTCTGCGGCGCGGCGTCCGGTGCCGGTCACTCCTCGCGGCGCGGGGGCGGTGGGCGGCGGGAGGGGCGGCGCGCGGCCTTCATCGTGTTTTCGAGGAAGGAGACATGGTACATCGGCTTTGCGAGCTCGATGTGGCCAAAGTGGCCGGGGCACTCGTTGTGGTCCATGCCGCAGGTGGCGCAGTTGATGTAGCGGTCGATGGAGCCGAGGCGCGGGTCCATCAGCCCGCCCTGCACCGGCTTGCCGTTGTCGAACGTGCGGTCCGAGGTCACTCCGTCAGGCTGCATCACAGACATCGCCTTGATTTCGTCTGGGCCGAGGATGCCAAACTGCACGCGCTTCACCTTCTTGATGTCGGCCTCGCTGTGCATGAACATGGCGCCCGCTGCACCACGGGGGGGGGCGCGCGGCCCGACCCTCTGCCCACGCGCGGCGCCGCGAGTTGCCAGCGGCCGAGCAACAGGTCCGAGCCCAACAAGCGGCGCCGCTGTGAAGAGCTGTTTGGGGCTGTCGAGAGGCGTTTCGACACCGAGATAGTATCGTTCAAAGGAACACTCTTCAAACTCGTGACGCTGTTCACGCTTGCTAAGTTAGGTAAGGTCAACGTCGGCGGCGGGGCCACGCTCTTGAGTCTTGTGCTATACCTACAGCTACACGGAACACGCCTGTCGCCTGGAACAGGTCTGGCGTCTGCGGCGGGCTTCTGTTCGCCCCTGCCACCCCGCTCCACCCGGACTACACTGTATATGGCCCTAAATGGCAAAAAACTCAGTACGGTCCGGCAGCGGGGCAGCCGCACTGCCGCTAAGCAGGCAGCCACAGGCAGACCTCCTCGCCGGCGCTCGCCACGAGCTGCCGCGTCGGGTTGCACTTGACGGAGGTGACGGGGCCGCGGTGGCCCGCCTGCGCCGCAACCAGCGAGGCGTCGTGCGTGCGCCAGCGCCAGATCTTGCCGTCCTCCGACCCGCTCATCACCTGCGCGCCGTCCGCGCTGAAGCACGCCTCGAGCGGCAGCCCCATCTTGTTGGCGTGCCCGCGAAAGGTCTGGAGCTCGGTGCCCTTGAAGGCGTCGATGCTGACGGCGGCGCCCTGCGCGGTGCCGACCAGCATCAGCTTGCCGTCAAAGTTGAAGCAGATGGACGCAAAGTCGCGAGGCTCGCCCGGCACCGAAAAGGTTGCAAACGGCCCCTTAGAGGCAAACCGCAGGTCGAAGAGCTTGACCTGGTTGCCGCCCACGCCCGCGGCGAGCACAAGCCCCTCGGGGTCAAAGGAGACCGCTGGCCGGCGCCCGCTGCCGGGGAAGCGGAGGACGCCCAGGCAGCCGGGCACGCGCAGGTCCCATGTCCGCATCGTCTCGTCCGCCGCCGCCGAAGCAAAGACGTCGTCCTTTGGAGAGACGCTCAGCGAGAGCACCGGCGCCGTGTGGCCGGTGAAGAAGCGCAGGTAGGTGTTGTCGTGCAGCGAGTGGTACCGAATCGCGTGCGCGCCCTCGCCGCCTCCCGTCGCGCCGCCGGCCGCACCCGCCGCGCCGCCGGCCGCACCCGCCTCGCCGGCGCGCGAGGCACAGATGACGGAGAGCGGGTCGTGCGTGAAGCGGGCGATGCCCACGCCGTATCGGGGGCTCTGCACCGCGCGCTGCAGCTGGCCGCTCTGGCACGAGTAAACGCAGAGCCGGTCGTCCTCGCCCGTGCTCAGCATGAGCTCTCCAGACCCGTTGAAGTCCAGCGACATGACCCGCCCCTTGTGCTCGCTGAGGATGGCGCCCGCCGCCATCGCCTCCATATACATGCGCAATGTCTTGCCCAGGGTTCCAGCTCCTAGCCGGATTGGGGTCTGTGACACTGACTCGCGCCAAAACGCGCCCTACCTACCTACCTACCTATCCCCAGGCCGCGCAGCGAAGCGAAAAAAGATGAAAAGAGGGGGTACCTACCTATTGCAGGGCCCTTTTGGGCGAAACAAGACCAACCTACCTACCTACCTACCTATCTGTCTGTCTGGGAGGGGCCAGCCAGTGTGGACAGACCCCCTATCCGGCTAGGAGCCCGGGCCCAGTGGGTTGTTTGCGGCAAAAGAATTTTACAACAAAACTCCCTCGCACGACACTAGTAGATCACTAGCGACTAGGCACGGGACTGGCGCGCACGCAAAAGAATTTTACAAGGGCTAAAGTTGCTCGCACGACACTGGACATCGTCCTCCCATCCCTCCCTTGGGTTGTCCGTTTTCTTTCTTTCTTTCTGGGCACTGGACAGAGAGAGAACGATGAGAGTGGGACGACCGCGAGGTGGCATGAAGGTTGCAGCGAGAATCGGCGAGAGACTGCGAAGAGAGATAGGAAGAGGCGGACGCCCAAGGGTGGGCGACGGCTAGCGCATCACACCCCTCTCCTTAAAATCCCTGTGAGCTGTGTGGTGGCGGCGTGCCGTCCTCCCATCCGCATCCCTCCTTGGCGTGTCAGTTTTCTTTCTTTGGGCACTGGACTGGCGCGCGCACACACACACTGGCACTAACACAGGTACACCACGGGAGCCGCCTTAAGCGACTCCAGGACTCCTGCGAGGACGGCGCGAGGCACTTAGCTCCGTGCACTCGACCGCCCTCGCCGCAGGCAAGCTCATTCACAATCTGCTCTCTGCGATGGCCGTGTGCAAAAGAATTCCGACGCTCCGAGAAAGCCGAGGACCTGTTTTTATAAAAGGCATGCCTGAAAAATACACCCACATCAAACGCCCCTCTCTCAGACAAACTGAGCTCCTACACGGCTCTGCGACGCTTGTCCCTCTCTCAGACAGACAGGCTGATCTACTAGTACTACTAGATCTAAAGCCTCGAAAAAGTAAAATCGGGAAGGCTCATGCAGATGACTTCTATTTATTCATTTATCGTATTCTTCTCAGGGGGGAGGAGACGGAGGGGCGCGCGACACGCAGGAGGGGCGAAATTGCGAACGACCCGAGCAGAGAGGGCGACGGCGGGGCACGAGGCAGGGAGCAACGGAGACGATACCGATGACGCGAACCGAGGCCCGGACGGACGGGCAGGGACGGGGAGAGTCGGGGAGGACGACAGCGACGTCGAGGTTGACGCAACCGTATCGTCTGTCGAGAGCGCCACCCATGGCGGACAGCCATGGGAGGTCACCGAATGGAGGGCGAAGGCGCGATACAAAAAGTCAGGGCAAGGCGGATGGAGAAAGAAGTGCCGAGAAGGCCATGGTGGAGGGGAGGGACGGGAGGACGAAACGAGGGCGAGAGCACTAGCCGTCTTCCACATGGTCCCTCGGGTCCCTGCTGCTCCTAATCTCTTCGTACATCCTCCTGCTGATCTCCGCAAAGTCCTGCTCCCTCCCTCGTCTCGCCCTGCGCGTCTGCTCCGCCTCACCGTCTTCTGCCCTGCGTCGTCTGGCGACCCCCTCCTGGTGTCATTTCGAGACATTCGCAAAGCGGAACGCAAGCTACACATGCGAAGAGGCTTCGTGAAGGATGGATATTGAAAAAACATTCGAACAAAGAAGAGGCGACGGCAAGAGCCGACAGAGTGAAGTGCCGAGATCGCCGCCGGGGACACGCCGCGCGAGCGCGATCGAGCGTGCCCGGGGTCGAGACAGTCGATCCGAGCGGATGCGCACATGCACACTATCTCTTGTTTGAACTGTGACGGTACAAGCTGGCGCACGCCGATACATACAATATGTACACCCGGGGATTAAGCGTCCGTGCCGCCCGGCAAATCTAAAGTATTGCCCTCGCCGCGGGCGGTTCGCTCCCGCCCGCCGGCTCGCTGTCCTCGGGGGGCGATCCCGACGGCGACCCAGCCACGCGGCGCACCGCCAAATGAACCGCGGAGGCCGCCACGAGCGCCAGCGCCGCGAGCCTCAGAGCGACCGTGGCGTCGGTGGCAGCCGGGTCGCGGAGGGCGAGGGTGTTTGCCGTGACGGTGGCGACGCAGATGAGGAGCGGCGGCACGCAGTAGGCGGCAGCGGCGAGCGTGCCGCCCGGCACGCGAAAGAGACGCGCGGCGTGCGGGCGCTGCACGCGGAGGGCAAGGAAGGCGGCGAGGAAGAAGAGGTGCGACGCACCTGCCGGGAGGGTGCGGGAAGGGTGGGTCGAAGGAGCGGGGAGGGCGGTGAGCGCACGAGGGGGTGGGACGCACAGTACAGAGTCATCTCAACCTCGACCAGCGACGAGTACGGAAGCTGCGCGAGCCCAAAGGCGCACGCCGCGTTGAGCAGGACCGCCCAGCGCGGCGCCCCCCCACACGGGGGCTCCGCCCTCACCCACCGCACCAGGCTGGCACAGAGCCGCGAGACTGCGCCCGTCGCGGCGCGAGACTCGGTGTGTGCCGGCGAGGCGGAGGGGTAGTCGGCGGGCGGCGACGCGTGCGGCAAGGCGGCGCCGCAAGCGCGCGCGTCGACCACCGCCGCGACGGCGAGCGACGTTCTCTCCGCGGCGAGGATCTGCGGGAGGGGGCAGGGGGCGCGAGGCTGCAGAGGAGGCGCAGCGGGGCAAGGAGCTGCAGGAGGAGCTGCAAGCCCGAGAGAGGGGGTGTGCCGTGGGGAGTGGTTTGGGCGAAGTCTGTGGCGGGCGGTGTGGTCGCGGAGACGTGTGTGGCGAGGCCGTGTGGCCACACGCCTGCGAGTGGTAGAGTCCGAGCAGCGAGACGATGGCGCCTGATGAGGTCCACCACGGCACGCGTCAACCACCGCCACCGAACGGCCGAGCCGGACCAGCGAGGCGACGGAGCCGGCGGAGAAGAAGGCGCGCAGGGGCCTGCCGCCGAGCGAGTCTGCGAGCTCGCCGAAGTAGCCGGCGGTGAAGTGCTGGCGGACGGGGTCGACCGAGAGGGCGACCGCGAACGGGACCACCTGTTCACACCGCCAGCCGTGAAGAGACCGCGCGTCGGGAGAGGCCGCCCTCTGCAGGCGGAGGGCGCGTTGAGCAGCGTGACGAGGGGGAGGAGCAGCGCGACGGCGAGGGGGTAGGTGAGCTGCGGCGTGCGCACCTCGCCCGCCATCGAGCCGAGGGAGGAGAAGCCCGAGTAGAGCCACACCGCCCACGAGAGGAGTAGCTCCTGTTCACAGCCGCCGAGCCGTGAAGAGCCGCCGTTCCCCACCCTTGCTTGCACCCGCTCCCAGCGCGGCGAGCGGCGCCCAGGAGACGTCTCCTTCGGATGCGGCGACGGCGGAGAGGTCGAGACGGGGCAGGCCGGCGGCGGTGAAGGCGAGGCAGGGCGTGAGAGCGAGCGCAAAGCAAAACGTCTGTGAGGCGGTCACCGCTGCGAGCCCACAAAGATTGAGCAGGCAGACGCCGCCCACAAAGCAGTACGCGATGGCCTGGCGGCGGCAGGGGGAGGGGCGAGGGCGGCAGGGGTCGGGCTGCGTCGAGAGGCGGCGCCTCGGCAACAAAACCGCAGCCGCCACGCGGCGTGCTTGGCGCTAGGCGGGGCGGCGTCGCGCGCCTGAGACTGGCTCGGGTCGAGTCGCAAGGCGTGCGAGCCGTAGCTCGCCGCCAGCTGTGGGTAGACGGCCGCGTCGAGCAGATTGCACAGCCAGACCCACAGCGCGTTGTGGTGTCCCACGGACCCGAGCGCCTCGTACACCCACGCGACCTGGCCACCGTCGGCGGGCAAAAAGGTGGCCAGCTCGGCCGTCATCAGCGCATTCGGCAGCGCAAAAGTGAGCGCGACCGTGAGGACGAAGCCGAAGATCACGAGCGGCGGTCCAGCCGAGAGGAGGTCCTCGGATCCGTATATGCCGCCCGACACCCAGAAGAATCCAATCACGACGAGGCTGCACGCGCCGACCCGGCGCTCGGATTCTGCCGTGGAGGATGCCGTGTGGAGGAGCGGCGCATTGCGGCCGGGCGAAGCGGCCGATGGGCACATCGCATGTGTATCTGTGTCCGGGGTGGTGGATCCAGCTCCAAATGGAGCGTGTGCCAGCCTTCGGCGGCACACTGCACACAGCCAAGCCAATCCAACCAAGAAATCACCGTCCCTGCCAAAATATCTCGAGACCTCGAGAGAAGGCCGCCCGAGGTAAGTGGAGAATTGGCTTTCTTTTGGCGGGCAAGGCCAAAAAACCCTGCCAGCAGAGTCCTCCTATATGCGCGGGAATGTACGTGAGAGCTACATACACTGAAAAAGAATTCTTGCTGAGAGCACACTGAGAAAAACACTGTGCGCGCAAAAGTTTAAGGTTATATAATAGCCTACGACCCTCCCACAAGTGCTATTAGTACCGACCCAAAAAGAGGGCAGGATCCCCGATTCGTCGCTAACACCCACTGACTGGAGTGACGGGCTCCGTCAGCCATTGAAGACGCCGTGTCGTGCGAGTTGGAGTGGCCTCACAGAGTCGCGCCGCCGCTCGGCGCTCTTCTGCTGGTTTGGCGATCCAGCGCTGCTCGTCCAGACAGAGGCTGCCTCCACTCCTGAGCTGCTCAGGCCTGGTCAAGGCCATCCACTGGCATGCTCTGGGAGCGCGGATGCACACCAGATCGCGCTGCTGGACCCACGGTGGCTGCCTTCGGCCACCGGCAGCGCCGGTGCGACGACATGCTGGCGGCGGTCTCTCAGGACTCAGCAAACTACTGTCAGGCGAGTGCACGACGAGATATGATCATGGGCGCTCGCATGTGTGCTCAGGGCACCTCAGGGCTGCTGCGTGACGCGTGGCTCGGCTCCGGAGGGGCTTGTGAATTTTCTGTCCAAAAAAGAATTGCTGCGGTCCTCCGCACGTCCCTGTCACGGCCCAACTCAGAACTTGTGTGCCGCCTTTTAGTGTCTCCGCCAGGGGGCCGCTGCCCCGCACGCGCCACGGAGGCTGGCCCTGTGCGGCGCACCAAACTTAGGAAAATGAGCGAGCCTCGCGCAGCCGCCGCGAGCGCAACGCCGGCCCTGTGCGGCGCTACGGCGCCGGACGCCGCCATCCTCGTCGGCGGCCTCGAGCGGCACTTCCTGATCGAGGAGAAGCTCTGGCGCAGTTTCCGGCAGAATGTGCTGCAGCAGTACGCGCCGTCGGCCGAGGTGATCCTCTACCTCAAGGTGCTCAACCTGAGCAGCTCTGGGCACGTCGGCCGCCACTCGCAGAAGCATCGCCCCAAGAGGACGCTCGCGGGGGAGCAGTTTGAGGCGTGGCTGCAAGGTGCCCGTGAGGGGTACTGCGAGTTGACGGACGAGGAGTCTGGCAACTGTGAAACGGACGACAGGGGCTCGATGCGGCTCAGCGCAGAGGCGGCCACCTTTCGCCAGAGCGCCCAAGAGTGCGCCGAACGGTGCCTCGGCTGTGCGCGGTGCCGCTTCATCTCATTCTCGGCGCGGCATCGCGACTGCTCCTGGTTCCACGCCTGCGATGTGCGTGGCTTGCACACGCCGGCCGGGGCCAGCCACCATACACTGCAGGTCGATGCATCGAGCGGGGCGCAGCAAGGGTCTGAGCAAGACCAGCTCGTCCAGCGACTGCGTGAGCAGGCTCTGCGGCAGCTCGCCCCCGCCGCCGTTCGGATCGACCTCGATTCGGACACCGTCCCTCGGCTGTCCCGCGAAGTGGCACAAACGTGCCGACAGCAGCGCAGCCTTCGGCTCTCAGACAGCGCTCTCGGCTACTTCCACACCCTCAAGGCCCTATGGCAGCTCATGGCGGGGAGAGAGGCGGAGAGAGGCCGCACGTTCGAGCAGCTGATGTTCGTGCGGCCCGATCTCGTCCACTGGCTGCCGATGGGGCCACACTGCCTATTCAGACGCTCAGTGGTCCACCACTCGATGGGCGCCACCTGCGCGAAGGAGGTGGGGCGGGTGCCTCCCCACTCGGTCGATGGCGTCTCTTCCAATAGGGTGGGCATGTGCGCCCTCTATGCGGGGTTTGCGCGTCTGCGCACCGACCGCGCGCGGGCCTGGCAGTCGGCGATTGAAGCGCAGATTCGCTGCAATAGGCTCGACTTTTGGTTCCTCGCCCCTCGGCCGTACTTTGTCGTGCTCGCGGGAATCCTCGACGCTGCCCTCGCCTGCAAGTACCGCGCGCCGGCTCAAACGTCGCAAACTCCGTGCGCCGCCGGCAGCAAGCACGAGGACCTCCGCGCGTGGAAGGAGCATCACGCGGAGGCACTTCCCCTCTACCCTGCGGCTCTGCCTCTCCGTGCTCAAACCGGCAACACCCATAGAGCGCCCTCAGGTGGTGCTGCACACTCTTCACCACTCGCTGAGTGGCGGGCATGAACGAGCCTCTCTCGATGTGCCCCTGCGGCGTTGCATCGGTGCGCTTCAAGTGGCTCGCTATCGTGCACGATTGTTGACGGTAGGTCCTCTCGTACTGCGGCGCCCGCGGCCCCGACGTCCTCCGCACGTGGAAAGGGCTGCAGAACCTCACGCTGCGTGTTCCACAATCAGCTCATCCAGCCGCCGCCGCGATTTCTGCATTCAGCTTGCCCCCTTCAGGCGACGAGAAGCTGCAGAGCCTGCGCCTCGAGCGGCACCCCAGCGCGCACCTCGGGGCCAGCGTCGTGCTACGGCCGTTTGGGAGGCCGAAGTCCCAAATTGGAGTAGGGCTTCACCTCCACAGCGCGCGCGGTGCTGAGGCGCATGACTTGTCATCGCTTCTCTACCATCGATAGCATCGAGCCTTGTTCGATTCGCTTGCCTTCGCGGGCTGAGCGGAATCCACTTAGAGCTTCTCAATACCAAACAAATATAAGACACTCACACATCATTGGGGCGCGCCCCGCGCACACAACGAGTATATGAAGATCAAAATGTGCTATTGACTATTGTGGGCGTGTACTGGGTGCTGCGTCTCTCTACCGTAGCGCGCAGCGCATAAAAAAAAGGTGTACAATCATAACGAGATTGTGGGTGGCACTCCCACGTGCCAGCCCTGGCCGGCACTTACATACAACGGTCACCTTGAGGCGCTGAAGTGGCGCCCCTCGTGCTCCTGCGGCTCTGGTGCGCCGCGAAGGTCTAGCCGCGCTTGCGTGGCCTCACGGGCGAGTGAGAGGGGTTCGAGAGAGGGCGAGTTGCCGCTCGCGAGGCGCGAGGCGCGCTCAGGCGGCGACGGAGCGGTCGATGCCGCCGATCGCGTTCTCCGCGGTGCGCAGCACGCGGCCCTCCAGCCCGAGGTCGTCGAGGTGTGCGACCGAGGCGGGGTCCTCGTGCTCGAGCAGGCCGACCATCGCCTTGCCGAGGTTGGTCGACGCCTCGACCACCACCGCGGGGTCCTTGTAGTGCGCGCACGCCTTGACCATCGCGGCGGCCCGCTTGGCGGGGTTCTCGCCCTTGAAGATGCCCGAGCCGACAAAGACGCCGTCCACGCCGAGCTCCATGAGCAGCCCCACGTCGGCCGGCGTGGCGAGCCCGCCCGCCGCGAAGGTGACGACGGGCAGCCGCCCCGCGTCGCGCACCTGCTCGACCAGCTCCACCGGCACGCGGTGCTCCTTGGCAAAGCCGAAGACCTCGTCCGGGCGGAGGGAGCGGAGCTGGCGGATCTGCGAGTAGACGTCGCGCGCGTGGCGGACAGCCTGAATCACGTTGCCCGTGCCCGCGTTGCCCTTGAGGCGGATCATCGCCGCCCCCTCGGCGATGCGGCGCAGCGCCTCGCCCAGGTCCTGCGCGCCTACGGGCGGTGTGTGAGCCGGCTCAGCGAAGGCCTCTCTGTGAGAGGCGTCCCCCTCTCGCCGGGCCGCGGCGCGCCACAAACGAACGGAATGGCGAAGTCGCGCTTGTCGATGTGATGCGTCTCGTCGGCGGCGGTGAGGACCTCGGACTCGTCGATGCAGTCCACCCCGAGCGCCTCGAGCAGGCGCGCCTCGTAAAAGTGCCCTATCCGCGACTTTGCCATCACGGGAAGCGAGGTCGAGCTCATGACGTCCTGGATCATCGCGGGGTCGGAGGAGCGCGCGACGCCGCCGTCGCGCTTGATGTCGGCGGGGATGCGCTCGAGGGCCATCACGGCGACGGCGCCCGCCTCCTCCGCGATCCGGGCCTGCTCCCCGTCCACCACGTCCATGATGACGCCACCCTGCTGGAAGACGGCGAACGCGCGCTTGACGGCGGTGTCGACCGCGCTGTCCGGCCGCGGGAGCGGCTGCCACGGAGCGACGGTGGTGAGGTCGGGGTGCGGCTCCGCCTCGTCGAGGTCGCGGCCCGCGACGGTCGAGAGGAAGAAGCGGAGCCACGAGTCGTCGCCCGAGATCTCGGGGTGGAAGCACGTGGCGAGCAGGTTGTCTTGCCTCACGGCGACCGCCGTCTCGCCGTCGGGGAGGGTGGCGAGCACCTGCGGGAGGCGGGCGGGGTGAGGGTGAGGTTTGGCGGGGAGCGGGGAGGGAGAGGCCGCGGTTCGGGCCGCCTCGACGCCCTCGCCGCACTCGGCCACCGCCGGCGCACGGATGAAGTAGGCCGCCTCGGAGACGCCCGCAGCGGCGGCGGAGCCCTGCAGCGACATTGAGCGGAAGCGCGAGTCGATCTGGCGGCCAAAGGCATTGCGCTCGATGGTGGCGTGGAGGCCGCCGACGAGGGCCTGCGGCTCAGACTGCTTGAGGCCGTCGGCCAGCAGGATCATGCCGGCACAGACGCCCCACACTGGCTTGGACGCAGCAAACTCCTGCAGAGGCTTGAGCATGGAGGCCTCGACAATGCAGTGGCCCTGGGCGGTGGACTCGCCGCCGGGCAGGATCAGCGCGTCCACGGAGGCGAGGTCGGCCGGCGTGCGGACCTCCACACCCGTGACGCCCGCCTGCCGCTCGACGGCGGAGAGGTGCTCCTTGAAGCCGCCCTGGAGCGCGAGCACGCCGACAGAGAAGGACTCGCCCGCCGCCGCCATGGAGAGCGCGTGCGGCGCCGAGCGCGGCGCGGCGGGACGCGCCGCCGGGCCGACGAGGACGCCCGAGACGGCGAGAGCTGCCACCAGCATCGGAGAGCGGGGGCTGGCTGCTACGACCTTCGGCAGCACGTGACGACTCCGTTCCCAGCAAATTCCTCGAACGGCGGTCAGCGGCGTCCCCGCCTCTAGGGCGGCGACCATGTCAGCGAGGGGGTCAATCGTACATGAAGCACGGAAGAGAGAGAGAGAGAGAGAGAGAGAGAGAGAGAGAGAGAGAGAGAGAGAGAGAGAGAGAGAGAGAGAGAGAGAGAGAGAGAGAGAGAGAGAGAGAGAGATTTTCAGAGCACGGGCAAAATCAAGTGATCCAGTAGCATGCTGCATGGTCCATGGACATGCTGCCTCACAGGCTCAGCTCCAACACGACACCTCCATCCGACCCTCTCGTTTCTCGGCTATATCATACGCACAGACAGACCCGCCACATTTGCCGGGCTCTAGACTACTTTGCGACGGCGAGCGCCTCCTGCAGCGTCGGCGTGAGGTACTCGGCGAGCTTGAGCGCGTCGATGGCCACGTCGAGCGTCGCGATGCCCTCGGGCGCCCCCGGCTTGCCCTGCAGCACGTGGCTCGTCGTGAGCTCCTTGAGGACCTGGTAGTCGTCCGACTGGAGGAAGAAGTACGGCATCATGTCGGGATCCGCCTTGGCCGCCGCCTCGACCGTCTGGATGAGCTCCTCGTCCGGCGTCTCGGAGCGGAACACCTCGCCGCCGTCCTGCGAGACGATGGCCACCTGCGGCGGCAGCGCCGGGCGGGAGACGCGTCGGAGGGAGAGAGGGGGGCGTGGGGGGAGGGCGCGGCAGGGGGGGTGCGGGGGGGGGCGGCAGGGCGGCAAGGGGCGGTAGGGGGTGGCGGGGTGTGCACCGAGTTGCCGCCCGCGTCTGAGCCGCAGCGGTCGATGAGGAGGGTGATCTGCTGCCCCTCCTTTGTGGCGATGGTGAAGCCCGCCTTGGAGAAGTCGGTGAAGGTCTCGCCCGACGGCCCCTTGAGCGTGAGGCAGCGCGAGAAGTCGGCGTCCGGCGTCACCGACTCGATCGTGTCGACAGTCACGCCCCAGTACGTCGCGAGCAGCGCGAGCTCGTGGATGGCCATGTTCTTGAGGAGGCCCTCGGCGTTGCGCTCGAAGCACTCGGGCAGCTCCGCCTCGGTGTAGGCGTTGTTGTGGATGTACGTCGTCGTCGAGCCCGGCCGCTTCTTCGCCTCCTCCAGCGCCTGCGGTGCGGCGGCGCGTCGGGGACAGGCGGCGCGAGGCGGCGAGGGAGCGGCAACCTGGCGGCGGTGCGAGGGGCGAGAGCCGGAGGCGGCGGCCGGGCGGCGGGAGGGCGGCGGGCGGCTCCGTGCGGCGATGGAGAGAGCGGGGCGAGAGAGCCGGAGGCGGCGGCCGGGCGGGAGGAGGGCGCGGGAGGGCGGCGAGCCTTGCGGACGTAGGGGGTGACGTTCTTGTTGTACCCCATGAAGACGGGCACGCCCTTCGAGCTTGCGTACGCGCGCATCTCCTCCAGCTCCTTGACGGTCGGCGCGCCCGGCTTCTCGAGGTAGACGGCGGTGCACCCCTTCTCGATCACCTCTTTGAGCAGCCGCGGGTTGTCGGCGGTGCGGCCGGAGATGAGAGCGAGGGTGCGCTCGCCCTCGGCGACCGGGACGGCGTCGACCGAGTCGCAGAAGGCCACGCCCTTCTCCTTCATCGCCTCAGCCCACTCCGCAAACGCCTTGCCCGGAGGGCTGTCGGCACCCGCACCCAAGAACCACGGCTCGACGACCGCGGTGACCGCCGCGTTGGGCACGTCGCCCTCAATTACCTGCTTGGCGTGGTACCTGCGGCGCGGGCGGCGCGAGGCTGCTCGCAGGCTGCCGATACGAGGCTGCTCGCAGGCTGCCGAGGAGAGGCGGCGAGGGAGGAGGCTGCACTGCTCACCAGCCCATGCCTCGCTTCGGCACGCCGCAGCCGACGACCCACACGGCGCATCTGTCGCTGCTGCTCATGGCTGGCTGGCTGACGGCCCTCGTCGAGCGGGCCGTAGAGGGCGCGACGCCGACTGTGAGGGCGGTGGAGCCGCTGGCGAGGAGCGCGAGCATCGCAATGAATGGAGAGGTGTCGAGAGAGGCACCCGAGTGCACCCAGGCGAGAAAGAGAAAACCAAACTGTATGGGTCTCGAAACACACCTCTGACAACGCTCAACAGCTGTGAAGGGTGAGACCAAATTAACGTGACGCAATTCGGTTGTGCGAGGAGAGAGGTCTGGCGAGTCTGGGCACACCACCACCGCCATGGCCTACGGCGCGCTTCTTGCATCGACGGTCTGCTTCGCGCCGCGGCCGCCACCTCTTTTCGCGGCGAGGCCGGCGCTGCGCGCTCGCGTCGTGGCGGGCACGCCTTATGAGCAGCTCACCGTCGGCGTGGTGAAGGAGCGGAAGGAGCGCGAACGCAGGGTAGCGCAGTCGCCCGAGTCGGTGGCCCTGCTCGTGAAGAAGGGCTTTCGTGTGGTGGTGGAGCAGGGCGCAGGCGCGGACAGCCTATTCGGTGACGACGCGTACGTCGAGGCTGGCGCCACAGTCGCATCGCGGGAGGAGGCGTGGGGTGCTCACTTCGTCACGAAAATCAATCCGCCGACGCGCGAGGAGGCCAAGCTGGTCGGCGACCGCACGCTGCTCGCGCAAATCAACCCGTCCAAGAACACGGAGCTGGTCGCGCAGCTCGCCGGTCAGGGCGCCACCGTCTTTGCCCTCGACATGATCCCGCGCCTGCTCTCGCGCGGGCAGACGTGTGCAGCGCCCGATCAACCGCTCGCGACTGCACACGCACACGCACGCACACGCCGCCGGCCACCCGCGCCTGCGCCCCTCCTGCAGGTACGACACCCTCTCCTCGCAGACCAACATCGCCGGCTACCGCGCGGTGGTTGAGGCCTCGCACGCCTTCGGCCGCTTCTTCGCCGGCCAGATGACGGCCGCGGGCAAGGTTCCGCCCGCCAAGGTGCTCGTGCTCGGCTGCGGCGTCGCCGGCCTCGCGGCGGTGCAGACGGCCAAGAACCTCGGTGCGCTCGTCTCTGCGTACGACGTGCGTCCGGCCTCGTGCGCGCAGGTCGAGAGCGGCGCCCGTCCGCGACGCGTCCGTGACACGTCCCGAGCAGGTGCGTCCGGTGGTGCGCGAGCAGGTCGAGTCGCTCGGAGGCGAACCGCCTCCCTGCAGCGGCGAGGGGGGGGGGGGGGGGGGGTCCGCAGGATACGCCGATAACGTGTGTCTGGCGGTGCGGGGCCCGGGTAGGCAGCTTCCTGAGCGTCGAGTACGAGGAGGACGGCGACGGCGGCGGCGGGTCCGTAATCACTCGGTGGGGCGCGCATGGCGCGACACGTCCACGACACGTCCACGACACGCCCCGGCAGGTACGCGAAGGAGATGAGCGACGGGTACAAGGCGGCCGAGCAGGCGATGCTCACCGAGGCGGTCGCCGACGCCGACATCGTCATCACGACGGCGCTGATCCCGAACCGGCCGGCGCCCACGCTCGTCAAGGCGGAGACGGTGGCGAGGATGCGGCGCGGCTCGGTGATCGTCGACCTCGCCGCGCAGAACGGCGGCAACGTGGAGGGCGTCCCCCCCCTTCTCTGCGCAGCTCCGGCGGTGGGGGCGTCGGCCATTCAAACCGCGTCCTCGCGAGTGATTAGGCACCGTCAAGGACTCGGCGACGAGCACGCCGAACGGCGTGACAATCCTGGGCTACACCGACCTCGAGTCGCGCCTGCCGACCACGAGCAGCAACTTGTTCGGGAACAACGTGCGGCCCCGCCCGCACCGCCCCGCTCCGCCCCCTCCTCCTGCCCCTCCGCCCCCGCCGCCCCGACGTCTGCCCCGGACGCAGGTGGCCAAGTTCCTCCTCTCGGTCGGGCCTCAGACGACAGGCCGGCAGGGCGAGTGCGAGACATGCCGCTCGGACGACGCCGCGCCGCTGTCAGGCGGCGCCGCTCACCTGCCTCCTCTCCCCCCGCGCGCAGGTACGAGATCGACCTCGAGGACGACGCGGTGCAGGGCATGCTGCTCGTGCAGGCCGGCGCGACGCGCGAGCCCGAGGCGTACGTCGCCCCCGCGCCGCCGCCGGCGCAGAAGGACGAGGCGGCGGCCGAGGCGCCGCCTCCCGAGTGGCGCAAGTACGCACGCGACGCGACCCGCCTCTCCGTCCTCGGGGGCTGCCTCCTCGCCGCCGGCCTCTCGCCCGACCCGAAGCTGGCGGCGATGCTGACGACCTTCTCGCTCGCCGGCCTCGCCGGCTTCCAGGCCGTGCTCGGCGTGCCGCCCGCGCTGCACTCGCCGCTCATGTCGGTCACCAACGCCATCTCGGGCATGACCGCCGTCGGAGGCATCATGCTCCTCCCCGCGCTGGCGGCGCGGCCACGCGGCGCGTCGCAGCTGCTCGGCGCCTTTGCGCTGCTCGTCTCGTCCGTCAACATCGCGGGCGGCTTCCTCGTCACGAGGAAGATGCTCGGCCTCTTCCGACGGCCGGACGACCCCAAGGCGCCTCTTCCGCCGCCAGCCCCGCTCGCTCGCGTCGCAGCAGCAGCAGCAGCAGTACCCACAGATGGGCGAAGCACGTTGATCACATAGTGTTACACATGGGGCTCTGTCGGGACCCCGGCTCGCGCGGCTTGCGCGCTCGCCCCCCCCCACGGGATCCCGCACCCGGCGCGCGCAGGAGTACTTTTCGCTGTACGGCGCGCCGACCGGCCTCTTCCTCGCCGGGCTCGCCGCCCTCAGCGCCACCGGCCGCACCGGCGGCGTCGGCGTCGCCGGCCTCGCGTCGGGCGTGCTCTGCATCGCGGCGGTCGCCGGGCTGGGCAAGCAGAAGACGGCGCGGCTCGGCGAGACGCGTGCATGACACGCCCAACGACGCGTCTATGACACGTCCACGACGCGTCCCACAGGCGCGGCTCGGCAACACCCTCGGCGTCGCCGGCGTCGCGTTCGGCGTCGCCTCGACCGTCTGCTCGCAGTGGCTCGCCGGGGCCACCGCCGCGGGGCTGGCCGGCGTGGGAGGCATCGCCGCCGCCGGCGCCGGCTCCGGCCTCGCGATCGCCTCGCGCGTCGGGCCGACCGAGCTGCCGCAGACCGTCGCCGGCTTCCACTCGCTCGTGGGCGCCGCCGCGGTCGCCACCGCTGTGGGCGAGTTTTTGCACCTCGCTCCGCTCGGCCTCCTCACGCCCGTCTCGATCGGCGCGATCGTCGCCGCAACCTACCTTGGCGCAATCACAACAACGGGCGCGCGCTTCGCCGGGGAGGCGGGCCCCGCCCCTCCCCGCCGCCCAGCCCTCCCCGGTTTCCCTCCCCGTCCTCCCTCCCCTCCGCCAGGCTCGCTCGTTGCATTCGGCAAGCTCAACGGCGCCCTCGGCTCTGCGCCCGTCTCACTGCCCAAGCGCAACCTCGTCAACGCGCTGCTCAGCGCCGTCTCGCTCTGGGCGGCCGCGCGGATGATGCGCTCCCCAACCCTCGCCGTCGGCCGCGCGGCGCTCGCCGCGTGCACCGCCGCCTCGCTCTTCGTCGGCGCGCACGCCACCCTCGCCATCGGCGGCGCCGACGTCCCCGTCGTCATCACTTGCCTCAACTCGGCGTCGGGGTGGGCGCTCTGCGCCGAGGGCTTCATGCTCTCGTCGACGCTGCTCACGACGGTCGGCGCGCTCATCGGCTTTTCGGGCGCGCTCCTCACGCAGGACATGTGCGTCGCGATGAACCGCGACATCGGCTCCGTGCTTTTCAAGCCGCTCAAGACAAACGAGGGCGGCTCGTGCGAGGCGAGGCGCTGCGAGCCGCGCACCGGGGACAGACACCTCCCCCGCAACACGTACCACACGACACCACACGGCACGTCCACGACACCGTCCCACACAACACAACACGCCCCGCGACACGTCCACGACACGTCCACGACACGTCTTCGCGGCGCCCGCCCCGACAGGTGAAGAGCTACGCGCCGCACACCGAGACGAGTGCGGACGCGCTCGCCGAGCGGCTGCTGTCGGCCAAGAGCGTGGTCGTCGTGCCAGGGTACGGCCTCGCGGTGGCCAAGGCGCAGTACGCGGTCGCCGAGATCGCGAGCAAGCTGCGCGCGCGCGGCGTCAAGGCGCAGTTCGCCATCCACCCCGTCGCTGGCCGGATGCCGGGCCAGCTCAACGTGCTGCTCGCCGAGGTGCGCGAGGGAGCGATCGCAGAGAGGGGGGAGGGGGGACCGCGGGGAGAGGGGCAGGGGGCGAGGAGACCGCGGGGAGTGGGGCGAGGGCTGCCAGCGCACCGCCCTTTTGCGCCGCCTTCGCAGGCGGGCGTGCCGTACGACATCGTGCTCGAGATGGAGGAGATCAACGACGAGCTGCCGGAGACCGACGTCGTCCTCGTCATCGGCGCGAGCGACACCGTCAACTCGGACGCGGAGGACGACCCCGGCTCGGCCATCGCCGGCATGCCCGTTATTCGCGTGTGGGAGGCTGGCAATGTCTGCGTGCTCAAGCGCTCCATGGGCTCGGTCGGCTACGCGGGCTGCGACAACCCCGTCTTCTACAATGAAAACACCGACATGCTCCTCGGCGACGCAAAGGCCTCCTGCGACGCGCTCAACGCCGCACTCGCGTAGAAAGGTTGGGGCGCAGGGAGGGTAGAGGCATGCGGCCCGCGAGTGGCGTGCCGCAGAGCGGCAGAGGTCTGGGAGGAGATCGTTACGCGACGCCCGACGGTATGGTAGCGGCGAGAGAGCGGAGAGATACGGCGGCGGCCGCGACTACCGACTAGAGATCCCGTCCTGGGCCTTCTGGGTTCTGTGCGACAAAAACTCGGTTTGACACAGACACCGTGTTCAAGAGCTTCAGCAGACCCCATGAAGCGTGCCCGCGACGCGCGAGAGTGGTGGCACGCGAAAAAGACGCGGGTCGCGGCCGCGCGCCGGCGGAAACATTTGAAACCGCAAAAGCGCGAGTCGGGGACTCGCGGGCTCTCTGTCCTCTCTTCAAACTCTTGCCCCGCCGGCGTCGCAGGTGGCGGCGGGGAGAGGGGCTCTCGCAAGAAGAGCGCGCATTACTGTCTTCGCCCTACCACCCTTTACCTCCCTGCTTGCGGCGAGGGAGCACCGATAGGTGTCGTGTTGGCAGTTTCCCAGTTAGCTCACCACAGCAGCCCAGCCCCTCTTGATTTTTTCAACCGTCGCTATGACAAGTATAGTCTCTGTCGCCACCAGCCAGCCAGATGTGGCCTTCCGCACTCGGAGTGCCGCGCGCGCCGCAAGAATCTGCGCATCTAGGCGTAGCCTCGCGCATCGCGTCGCTGCACGCATCCCTCCGGAAACTGGAGTTCGACACGGGGGCGGCCCATCGTGAGAAAGCCGGTCCACATTGATCTGCCGGAGGATAGCACCCCGCTCGCACGCCGGCCAAGCAAGCCGTTGACCATCCCCGTGAGCGCCGCCTCGTCCACGAGGCCAAGGTTGATGCCACCCCAGACGTCGCCACGCGATCGGCTGTTGTTTGTGTGGCAGAAGCGGCGCCGCTGTGCCACGGACCATGAGATCGCCTCGGCGAGTAGCGTCGGATTCGCTGTCTGCCAGAGGATTGGGTAGGACGGCCTGCGCGCACAGATCGGACGAGGGGGATGGCGTGGGTCAGCGACGAAATGTCGGGAGGCGTGGCAGTGGACGCACCTGGCCCATTTGGCGCCAATCTTGCTTCCATTAAGGATGCATAGTGCATAGTCGTCCATACTTGGCATACGTCCTCGCTCACGAGTCTTTTCCGGCGAGTCTCTCATGTGCACCTGTTGCAAGCCGGACGATGTGAGCTTCTCGGCCACCTCTCCGCCACCTCTCCGCGATTTGCTCACCACCAGATAGGGGTCTGGGCCGAAGGCGCAGGCCCTCTCCGCACACTCAATGTGCGCCTCGAGCCAAGGTCGCGGGCGCCACAGCACATCGATGAAGGCGCGCGAGTGGTGCACTTTGACATAACGACGCAGCCCGTACCACGAGTTCCTCTTGAGGAAGTCTTGCATTGAGACGTGCGCCATAGGCCTCCTGTCGCAAGCCTGTGATGTTCTGCACGCCTCGGCGGGTGGCGAGGAATTACGTGGCGGCTGGCAGTGCGTCCACGGGCGGAAAAAGCACTGCAGCGTCCCCGGCTTCGCCGTGCACCACCGCCAGCCGCGTCGATGGTCCGATGTGTTGCTTGCCGGTGCCTCCACCAGAGTGCGGTTTTGTGACATGGCGAGCGCCAGCAAGTAGACGGTCATCCGCAGCGTCCACCCAAGGCCAGCGCCCACCGCATCATCATGCAGCACGAGCAGACGCGAGCAGTCACTGCCGAACTGGTGCCGCGCCACCAATTTCCGCATGGTCCAGTACGAGGCGTTTGGCAAGTAAAAGAGGCGATGGTTGGAGGGGGGGCGGGGGCGCGTGGGCATGCGGTCGGCGAGGGCGTCGACGATCCAGCTGTCAATCGGGCCGGCCGGCGGGTTGGGGACGAAGTCTGGCGCGCTGAGATTGCAATTCGCACGGGGCAGCATATCGGCCGCGAACCACTGCCCGAGCGCTCCTACATGGCGACAGCGAACATCCAACCAACACACGTGTGACAAGTTGCGCGTTTCGTTCGAGCCTAGATCTAGAATTTAAACAACGCAACTCTCTCTCACAGCACACAGGATCTAGAATTCAAGAGTTGTGGGACGGGATTGGAAAACAAGGTGCAGGAAGGTTTGTCGGCACGGCGGTGCTCGACGGCAAGCTCTACGCGGTGGGCAGAGCGAATGAGGCTGACGAAGCACCTTCCATCTCGGTCGATCGGTACTACGACCTGGCTTCGAAAGCATGGGAGGCTGTGGCGCCGATGGCGACGGCTCGAGACGAGCTCACGGTAGCGGTGCTCGACGGCAAGCTTTATGCTGTGGGTGGCACCAACCCCAACGACGGCTCCCTCAGCTCGGCGGAGCGGTACGACCCGCCGACAAACGTATGGGAGGCGGTGGCGCCGATGGCGGAGGCGCGCGCGTATCACGACATGACGGTGCTCGAAGGCAAGGTCTATGCTGTGGGCGGCAGCCTCGGCGGCGGCGCCCTCAGCTCGGTGGAGCGGTACGACCCGGCGTTGGACCTCGTGCATGGGAGGCGGTGGCGCCGATGGGGCAGAGGCGCGGCATGATCACGCTGTGGCGGTGCTGGACGGCAAACTGTACGCTGTGACCTGGTGGGAAATAAATAAATAAATAAAAACGGACACATCTACTGTGAGATCGTGGAGGTACGGCTTTAAAAAGGAACTCAGGTCCCCGCCCCGCGCCCGCCCGTGCGATCTCTCCGTGCCACATGAACCCACATGCTCCGTGCAGGGTTCTTTGTGTATTCCTAAGCCTCTGTTTCATTTTTCTTTATACTTTAATTGGGCGGACACGCACACGCGCACAAAACACACACGCACGACGCGCATCTCGTTCGCAACCGGCGTCCGCCGGGAGATAGGAGGTCACAGCTGCTGCGTTGGGGGAGCGCTCGACCCGGGCGGCGGCTCAAGGCGCGCTCGCGCGACGCGCTCGGCCCGCTTCGCCTCCGAGTCGAACCGCGTCCAAAAGGAGCGCGGCCGCGTGTGCAGAAAGGTGAAGACAAAGGCGAGGGCGTGGAAGACGAAGGGGTAGAGGCCGAGGGCGAGGAGGTTGGTCCACTTGGAGAGCACCGGATCCATCGATTGATAGCCGTAGTACGACCAGCGCGAGCCGTAGGGCTGGTCGCCAAACTCGTTCTGGAGCAGCCCCTCGAAGGCGAACTTGCCAAACGAGATGACGTACGGGATGTTGACCACGGGCGGCATGAGGCACGCCGGCAGGTAGAAGCCCGAGAACTGCAGCAGCACCGAGACGATCGCGTTGTGGGCGGTGCCGGCGCCCTCGGGGTCAGGGATGAAGGAGATCATCAGCAGCGAGAAGGCGGAGCCCGTGCTCGAGAGCAGCGCGAAGACGGCGATGAAGTAGAAGAAGGCCTCGGCCGTGGGCGCGAACTGGTACGGCGCCCAGTACACCACCGACCCGAAGAGGACCGCCTTCCAGAGCGCCTGCGCCATCAGCCGGAAGGCCCACTGCAGGTGGTACGCCGCGGCCGAGTACCCGCCCGCCGCGTGCTCGCGCCGGAAGGCGCGCTGCTCGGTGTAGCACTCGGCGAGGACGGCCGTCTCGGTGATGACCGCCGCGGTGAGCGTCTGGTAGAGGAAGGACCGCTTCGCCGAGATGAGGTGGAGGACGGTGATGTACTCGTCGTCCTCGGGCGTCCACCCGTCATACGGCGCCATCCCGCCGCCCGAGGAGCGGGTCCACACAAAGAGGATCGCGTAAAAGGCAAACTGCAGTAGCGGGATGAAGAGCATGCGGTACCAAAAGTCGCGGTCGCGCACCCCCTTGAGGTAGGCGCGCCGCGTCAGAATCGCAATCTGCGCCGGGATCGAGCGCGCCTTTGTCTTGCTCGCGAGCAAGCCCTCGAGCAGCCGCGTCCGGCGCGAGCGGCCGGCGCCCGTCGCGCGCGACACCTCCGCGAAGGCCTCGTCGACGGGCGGGGGGAGGCCGGGCAGCGTTCTCTGCGCGAGCTGCTCGCACGTGCGCACGAGCGCCGCGTTGGCGTCGGAGTTCGCCCACGAGTCGACGAGCGAGTCGACGGTGGAGCCTCCGGCCGAGGAGGTGGAGCTTCCGGCGGAGAGGCCCTCGGCGAGGGGGGGCGCGAGGAGGGCGGGCGAGAGGAGGGCGGAGGGGCGCTTCTCGGAGGCGGAGGAGCGCCTCGGGCTCTTGGCCCCGCCCTTGATCACCGCCAAGTGGGGGCTCATGTCGGACGAAGAGCGGCGCGGAGCGTCCTCTAGGCGAGGCGGCTCGGGCGGCGAGTCGGGCGGCGCGGCGAAGGCGGCGGGCGCGGGCGAGTTGCTGGCGGAGACGATGGGGGAGATGCGGGCGCGCGGCGAGGCAGAGCTCATGCGTCTTGAGAGCGCCTCAAGGACGAGTCGCTCCGAGAGGGAGGCGGACCGCTCGCGCCGCCACGACTGCTCGGCGACGGCGGCGTCCACCTCGGAGGTGCTCAGCCGCTTGGACGTGCCTGTTCACAGCTAGAGGTGTGAAGAGACGCTGTTCACACCTCGGAGGTGCTCAGCCGCTTGGACGTGCCCGACAGGCTGAAGCGCTTGCTGAAGCGGCCGGGGCGCGACGGGGCGGAGGCCGCCTGCGGGCCTGGCTCCTTGGCGTAGGTGAGGTCGACGACAAAGTCAGCCGGGTTGGTGCCTGGGGAGGGGGGGGGGGGGGGGAGTCGGTGCGTGGTGAGGTGAGGTGAGGTGAGGTGTGGTGTGGTGTGGTGTGGTGTGGTTGGGGGGGGGCGGGTATTCCGCACCAGACGGCAGCCGGATGCCGAGCGAGCCAAGGTAGGCTCCGATGGAGGCTGTGGGCCCGAAGTAGGCGGCCTTGCCGGCGGCCATCAGCAGGAGCGTGTCGAAGAGCGCGAAGATGTCGGCTCGCGGCTGGTGGATGGTGCAGAGGACGGTGCGGCCGGAGTCGGCGAGTCGGCGCAGCGCGCGCACGAGCAGCAGCGAAGAGTAGGCGTCGAGGCCTGGCCGACGTGCGAGCGGGGGGCATGTGCGTGCGACGCGTGTCCGGGGGCGGGCGGCGAGAGAGGAGAGGGAGAGGAGAGGGCTCGCGGGCGCCTGTGGTCGGCTCGTCGAGGAAGAGGACGGACGGAGACGTGACGAGCTCGACCCCGACGGTGACGCGCCGCGCCTGCCCGCCCGAGATGCCTCGCCGGGTGGCGCCTCCGATCCGCGTGTCCGCCACCTTGGTCAGGTCGAGGTCGCGGATCACTCTCTCGACAGCCGCCTGGAGGGGGGTGGGGGCGGGGGGTGGGGCTGGGGAGGTGCCGCCAGAGAAGGCCGCGAGAGAGCCGCGCTGCCGCCTCCCGCACGCGGCTGGTCTCTCCGCCACCCGTCAGGCGGAGTTCGGCGGTGTATGCGAGCATCTCGCGCACCTGCAGGAGGGCCAAGAGGGAAGGGTCCGAGAAGGGTCCGAGAAGAGCCCGAGAAGGGTCGGGGAAGGGTCGGGGAAGGGTCTGGGAAGGGCCCGGGAAGGGTCGCGCGCAGTGAGCGTCTCGAAGAGCGCGTCGAACTGCATCACGTACGCGGAGACGCGCTTGAAGTACGCGTCGCGCCGCTTCCCGTTGAGCAGCACCTCGCCTATCGGCGCACCGAGCTGTGAAGAGACACACGGCCCGGCTCGGCGGCGGCGGCGGCTTGCGCAAGCCGCCGGCGATCTCGCCCCCTTTCTTCCGGTCGGCGAGCACGTCGAGGAGGGTGGACTTGCCGCAGCCGGAGGGCCCCATGATGGCCGAGAGCGACCCCGGCGCGAAGACGCCCGACACGCCGCGCAGCACGTGCTTTTGGTCCCAGTGCAGCGGCCGCTTGCCCTTGCCCTTTGGCAGCGCAGCCTTTGCGCGCGCGCGGGCAGATGCGTTGAGCTTGACGGAGTAGTGTATGTCGGAGAAGGAGAGGTAGACGCGCTTGACGCGCTCGGCCGGCTCGTCCGAGCTCTCGAAGGACGCCGCGCTCGCCGTCGACGCCTCGGCGAGCGAGAAGCCTTCTGCGGCGGGCCCGGCCGGCGCCGGCGCCACGCCGCTCTCCGCTCGCGGACGAGAGAGCCAGACGAGGGCGAGCCAGGCGTTCGGGAGGAGGAAGATGAGGCCGATCACGATGATCGCCGCGATCATCTCGCTCTCGAACCGCGCCGGCCGCGGATCCTCCGCCTCGTCGACGCACTCGTAGAAGCGGAGGTTGCGCTCCGCAACATCAACATAGGGCGCAATGGAGACCTGGATGTAGCACGAGAGGTTCGCGGGGCTGGAGCCAAGGCTGGGCAGCGCCAGCCCGCAGTCCGCCGTCGCCGCCGCGTTTGTCACTGTGGTCTCCACCGAGTTATCGAGCGGTAATACGTCACCTCGCGTGTAGTTTAGTGAGAGCCGCGCACACGCTGCGAAGCCGCGGTCAAACTGGGCGGCGGAGACCTCGGGGCAGTAGCCGTACGTACGGACAACGTCGGCCCGCGCGCCGCAGAGGGCGGCGAGCAGCCAGAGGGACGATGCTGCTGGTGTCCGCATTGCTAGCCGGCAAGGGGGGCCATGATAAAAGAATTTTAGCAGCTCCCTCGCACAACACTGGGCACTCCTCTCGTTGAGGCGCCGTACGACCAACCGAGACAATGGTGCGCTCGCTCGCCCCGCCCGTGCCCGCGGCGGCCCGCGCGTGCGCGCGCGCGGTAGTAGGAGTAGGCTGCGGGTCGTACCGAACCGGTGGGTCACCACCGGTCTCTGGTCCCCGGGAGCAACGAACCGCGCAGCCACACAATGAGCGCAAAACAGCAGCACCTTCAGCGAGAAGGAGAGCACCAGCCGAGGCGCTGCCCGCCGAGGCCCGAGCACGCGAGGACGCGCGAGACGGGGCGGCGTGGGGGCCGCCCGGCGAGCAAAACGACGGGTGCCGCGCGAGTCGCGTGCGTCAAGCAGTCGAGGCTGTCGAGGCTGTCGAGGCTGCCGAGGCTGCCGAGGAGGCCGAGGAGGCCCCCCCCTCCCCCCCAGGGTCCCGAACCAGGGACCAGCCGACGCGTAGGAGGGAAGCGAACGCACGCGACACGACGGATGTCGAAATCCGCTGCGACGGAGACTCACCGCCTCATATACGGTGGATTTTATTTAATTGTTTGCTGTCATCGCTGGCGCCTCTGTGTGGAGTGAGGTGGTGGATAGGGTGGGCGCTCGCAACCGTGGCGAGTGTCGCCCTCGCCGTGCGTCACGTGAGGATGGGCCGAGGAAGGCCACCGCGCACGTCGGCCCCACGACACGGTGACATAGAGACAGGAGCAGCACATGGAGCAGCACCACCAGCACCACCAGCTGCAGAGCCAGAGGCGCCTCACAGCCCCGGTCGCGCAAAACCAGAGGACCCCCCGCACAGAGAGAAAAGAAGCGAAAAAGCCAGACGGCGCGCCCGAAAAAGAAAACGCGGGAGGCGGCGCCCAGCGCCAAGGGGACGCGAAGCATGGACGGGTGCAGAGATCGCCGCCCTCCCGATCCGCGCAAAAAAGAGAAGGGTGTGGGCGTGGAAGCGACACCGACGGAATGTGCGGCGGAAGGGGCGAGGGAAGCTCGACCCAGACCTGGACTTCTACGGGGTACCCGCAGTCGAATCCGCCTCCAGCCCGCTCGAGAGGGCGGACGCGCGAGCACAACGGCTGGGGATGAGGCCCCTCTTAGATGAGGACCTGGCACACCTGGGAATACCCGCGGCCTACACATGGCACATACCCATCGCCGAGTGGAATGCACTCATGAAGGCACTCCACGGAAACGGAATGAGCAAGGGTGCGCAGAAAAAGGCGCCACGGAAGAAGGCGCACGGACAAGCCCATTTCGCCACCCTAAACGTCTGCGGCGGGGGCCTCGAGAGCATAGAGGGGGCGATGGAGGAAATCCGGGAACTAAAAGAGGGGGGAGGCGCACCGATCCGCAACACGGGACGGGAGGCAACAAAGAAGTTGGTGGAGATCATCAGATACATCAAGGAGGGAGGGGTGTGGCTCGCCACGCTGGCGGATACGCACCTAGGCGAGAAGGAAATGCGCGAAGTGATAGAGTACCTAGAGACGATGGGGATAGAGGCGTGCGGGACCCCAGCCTACAATGACCCGGCCTCGCGCGCGCTCAAAGCGGGGGTGTTGATTGTGTGGGACCCAGACCACCTGCAAGCAAAGAGAGACGGGAAGGGTGAGGTGTCCATGGAAGAGGTGGTGAGAGGTCGCGTCGTGAAAGTGGAGATGGAGGACGCGGCAAGCGGACTGGAGTGGACACAGATAGGAGTCTACATGCCAGTGAGGGGACGGGCTAAGATAACGGTGGCGGCGAGAGGAGGAACGGACGACACAGAAACAAAGGACCCAGCGCAAGACGCGTGGGAGAGCCTAAGGGACGAGCTAGACAAAATCGACGGGGAGTACATGATCGGTGGAGACTTCAACGCCGAGACGGAGGCCTTCCTACGAAGCAGAGGCAAAAAGGAGCGGACCCTCTCAGACAAGATGTTCAACAGCATGCTGACCGAAGTGGGGCGAGACCTGAGAGCGATGGCGAATGACGCAACGTACCGGGCGGGCACGCAAATTGACAACTGGATAGTCACCCCGGCGCTAGCAAATGTGATGGGGCGCGTACACATCATGCCAGGAGTATGCGGGAAAGACCATGAGATTGTGGCGGTCGAATACTATGGGGCAGACGACCCAGAAGGAGAGCGGGAATACCGACCGAAGGGAGTCAGCCGGAAGTTGGACCGAGACGCCGAGGAGGCGTTCACGAAGACCGTACAGGAAGCCTACGACGGCGCGATGCAACCGCGCCAAGGCGAGACACCGGCAGAGAGGCTGAAGGCGATGACACAGGCGCTCACGGACCATGCCAAGGCAGTGATAAAAGAGGCGCAGGACAAGTTGCGCCTAGAGAAGGAAGGGGATAAGGGCGGACAGACCGGCGAGGCGGACGAGGAGGGGGAGGACCAAGGGGGGGGCGGGCAGCGGGACACCCAACGACGGGGACGACCCCCCATGTCGCAGAGGGAGAGACTGCGATGGAAGATAGCAAAGTGGAGACGGATCGGCGGGGGTGGGGAAGGCGCAGGTAAGCAGACGTCTACATTCCGTTCTCGTAATGAAACTCTTTCCCCACGTCAGTAACGCAGACAAGTTCGCCTATGCAGTCCACGTCGTCATCACAGTCGCCGATTCCCTCAGGACAGGGCCCGTATTGCTTGCAGCAGCCCGATGTTTCTCCTTCGGCCCAGGGGTTGCAGGCGGCCCAGGGAGGGGGCGGAGGTAATGGGGGTGGGGGGGAGGGGGGGGGTGGAGGCGGCAGTGGCACATCACACGTCTCCTCTGCGTGGCCGACAAAACCATATCCACCGCCCCTACAATCATTTGGACAGGGCGGTTCTGTACAAATTGGAGGAGAGGGGGTTGCCATTATCCATTTTGTCATACACCGCCCCGACTCCCAAGTGCCATTATCCGGGTTTGGACAAATTATCATTGACTCGCCAATGCCATTATCCGGAGGCCCATTTTCTTCGCCAGTTGCTATCCACTGCCACACACCGGCAGATGGGCCCCATGTGAGGTGATCCGTGGTGTATATCCATTTGTAAAGACGAGTAACGCCGGTCGGCTCGCAACGCCCCGGAGGATACGATTCGATGCCAAAAATGCAGTCCGGTGGTGAGCGAGTCACCCCGGCCGATGAGGAGGCCACCGCAGCAGGAGCGGGAGGCGCCGGTATTTCGAGCAGCTCCCGCGGCGCGTGGGCGCCGCGGGGTTGACCGACAGCTTGTAAGGTGGTCGTAGGCGCGTTGGTGGGCGCAACGCTGGTGTCCGCCCCATTCGGTTCTCCAAGCCACCACCGCAAGTTGTCCGGTGCTCCTGACACGGCGGCGGTGAGAGCGGCCGCCAACGGAATGCAGGACATAATACGGGGCCGAGGACGCCAATTTTTCGCTATTGGATCCCTACCTAGCCTTTTGGTCTGCGTGTTTGGCGTTTTGCCGTTTGTCGTAAACAAAACGGTTTTTTTTCAAGACTCCCGTACTAAACTCTAAAGATCCTTCAAAAATTCCCCATGAGCATTTTGATTTCACTTTATTAGAGCCACCCTCCCCTCCTCCCACCCGAGCCGCGCCCTGCGCCGCACAACCTATATCACCCTTTGCGCAGTCAATCGGTCGACGCCGGTAGAACTCTCTCTCTCTCAGTGAGCGAACTTGAAGATTTGCTTGGGGGGGGGGGGGGGGCAAGTAAACTTGTCTCCACCCACCTCCCCGCGCGGGGCCGCTCCGGGGCGACCCGGGTGCCCTCCGACCACCCTGGCTCCTTAATTACTACTAGAGTGAGGCCCTTGACGGGCCCCGCCCCCAATGGGGCGGGGTTGAATGGGCTAGCGCTGGCGTGGCATTGACATGAGCACAAAGTTGCTAATGTGCGTAGACGAACAAAAAGTAGGGTTGAAATCGTCCACGCAAGGCTTGGGGAGTGCTTGGGGTGGCCTCAGGCATCCCCAAGGGAGTCGCAGCGGTGCCCCATAAGCAGCTTAGCGATTGTCGAACCTCGAAGCGCGTTCGTTTGAAGAAAGGCACACGGTACTATCGGGCCACCGGAGAGTCACCGGTAAACTTCGACACTTTGAGGGGTGAGAGCATGCATTATTGTGGCATATCATGTCACATAAGGTCGAGCTTGACCGCAGAAGCATCAAGAAGCGGATACTCCAGCTCGACTGTGCCGGCAAACTGCCTCCGCTCACGCCGCGGGCCGGCTGCCAACAGCCGTCGCGGCCCGTGGCGTGCTCCAGAGAGGGAGAGAGGTCGAGTCCGCATGGCTCAGGCCGGCCAGAAGGTGTGTGGCGACGGCACCGTGGCAGGAGTGCGGAGAAGAGCTCGCCGAACGCGAGCAGCGGAAGGCCGAAGTGTGCCAGCGCGAGAGCCTCGCGAACGGGTGCAGAAGGAGCTCGCCGTGACACGATGCCGGGCGGTGGTGGTGCTCTGGCGGCTGTGCACAGTGGGAAAGGTCAGGCTGCAACAGCGTAGCACGATGGTAGTGCCCCACTGCAGCCTGGCCTGACATGCACAGGGCGAACAGAGACCTTGCTATCGCCTGGCGCTCGTCTGGGCAAACTTTGACCGCCGCCCGGCTCGCCACGAGCACGCAGCGACAAAATGATGACCGTGTCGAAGTTGAGGCTGGTCGAGAGGAAGAGGCTGCCGTGCGAGCCGGCAACTGGCTGGCTCGGCGTGGACAGCCGGCGGCGACTTTTTGCCGAAGAGCGTGCCTGCCGAAGAGCGAGTCTGACTCAAAGTGCACGGAGTGGGCGCCGCCGACCGTCGGGAAGAGTCCGATGGGTGCCAGGAGGATCCAGAGAGCGATGAAGGCGCAAATTGCGCCGCCGAAAGTGGCGGTAGAGGCCAGGACGTGCGCGTGGGCCGGTCAGGCCACGTCCCGGGGCGAGCGATCGAGGGCCGCGGGGCTCGCCCCGCCGGCCGAGCGGTGCGAACGGCCGGTCGCCCGCTTCGGGTTGGACCCGCCGGGCGGTCTGGCGGCGGATGGCACGGCCGGGCGGGCCCCGGGAGGCAGGCGGGGCCGCGACAGGCGGCAGGGCAGAAAATCCCTTTCGGAGAGCGTGTGGGGGTTCGACTCGGGGTTTCACAGCCTTGTTATTGAGAAGAAAATACCTCCTCTGGCGCTGTGCGCTGGCCTGTGAGAGGTTGAGTTCACACAAAAACACAACCCCGGTGTGCTTGAGCACTTGAGCACTGGATAGGGTCGGTTCCGCATGGTACGGGACCCACCCCTCGATCGTCTCGCCCACCCTCACTGGTGTGTTCATCGGGGGGGGTCATAACAAACGGATCGAGGTGCACGCTGCCGAAGCAGTGTCGTCCCCCCTCTCCCCGACGGCGATGGCGGTGTGACCGATCGAGCTACAAGAGGAACTTGTTCAGCAGGATCCGGGATAGTCAGATGCATTATCACAGTAGCCCGAGGACGGGGGGGGGGCGGGCCTCACCCGGGGCTCACCGGCGCCCGGCCGTCCCCGCCCCCTCCCTCACCTGCCCCACCCCGGGGCCTCACTCGCGATGCGCTGTCCCGGGGGGGTAGCTCGCTGCCCGACCCAGCCAGGGCGCAGGGGCACCACGGGCGGGCCACAGCCCACGCGCACGCGGCCCCGTACCTACGCCTACCGGCTACCGCGCGCCCCCGGCCCACCAGCGCCACGCCTAAAAGATTAAGAATTCTACCCCCTGAAAGGCGCGCTCCGCACGAAAGTGAAAGCTGAATGGGCGGGTCGGGGTGCCGCCGGGGTGGGGGGGGTGGGGGCACCCGGGGCGCCTCACTCTGAGGAGCTCCGCCCCGCCCCTGCCCCTCATTGCCCCGGGGGTGGGGCCTCACCCGCAGCCGGCGCGTCCCGGGGTGGGGTCTCGCTCTCGGGGTGAGTCCCGGGTGAGGGTGTATGTAGAGGATGTAGAGTGTAGAGCGCTGTAGAGCTGTAGAGATGTAGAGCGCTGTAGAGCGCTGTAGAGCTGTAGAGCTCTACATCCGCCGCGTGACGAGGCGCCTCCGTTGTAGAGCGATGTAGAGGCGCTCTACAACGTGAAATCTCTACAACAAAGGCAGCGTGCACCTCGATCCTGTACCGTGTTTGTTATGACCCCCCCCAATGAACACACCAGTGAGGGTGGGCGAGACGATCGAGGGGTCCCGTACCATGCGGAACCGACCCTATCCAGTGCTCAAGTGCTCAACAAACTCTACATGATAAGCGGGAACGAGGCACGGTCGCTCTCCGACATGAGGCGCGTTGCACTTGCCAGTGCTGCCCTGGCCTTCTGTCTGCCCGCCCAATGGGTAGGAGGTGCCTCTGCTGCTGTGGCATGCCTCACGGCTGCGACTGGCCGGCGCCTCGGCGCGTCAGCTCGGCTCGGCGTAGCGATAGTGGCCAGCGCAACTCGCCTGGACTCAACGCTCAGCCAGGAGCTCCCGCACGCGCTGGCGCGAGTCATGGCGCATGCAACGCGCAGCAATGCTCGCCTCGCCTCGCGCAAATGCGACCTTCCTCGCAGCCGACAGTCCACCGCCTGCTAAAGAAGCACAGCGACGAATGCGGCACCGGCGACACATGGCAGGCTGGTCATGACGCAGTTATAGGGTGTTGTGTGCCGTCGGAGTGACTCTCTGTGTGTCAGGGATAGTCAGGGCTGTCCATCAGAGCTCCAGTAAGCTCGGAGACACCCCATTAGCGCGGCTCGACCTCTTTGAGTCACTGCCTTCCCGGCGGTTTGGCTGTAGAGCCTCTACAACAAACTCTACAGCAAAATCGCGCTCTACATCGCTCTACAACGGAGGCGCCTCGTCACGCGGCGGATGTAGAGCTCTACAGCTCTACAGCGCTCTACAGCGCTCTACATCTCTACAGCTCTACAGCGCTCTACACTCTACATCCTCTACACCCTCCCTCAGAACAAGAGTAGCCGGCCTTGCTCGTCAAAGACGGTGCATCCTCGAGTGAACCTGTAGTTGCCGTGCTCGTCATAGATGTCCTTCCGCTCGGCTTCAAGACACTTTTTCTCCTCTTGCTGTTTCTCCGGCTTCTCCTCCCCCCTGTCAGCCGCCCTGTGTCACATTGCTTTCCCTCTGCCGGCGGCGGCGCTGCGCCGCTGGGGGTGCGAGGCGCTGCGGGTGGTGCCGAGGAAGAGAAAGGCGCGACCGGCTCGATGGCCGCGTGATCGGTTTTTTTATCCCTGCCGCCGTATGTGGCGCACCAGGACCCACACAAAAGGAACTCTCACCGCGCCACCCCCGTCGTCACCGGCGGGAAAAATTCCTCCTCAAGCCCACTCCCGCCGAGCCTCTCGCGGAGCGCCGCGTCGAAGCGGCGGCTCTGCTCGGGCGTGAATTTCTCCCGCCAGCCACCCGGCGACCCGCGGCGGAAGTGGCCCGCCTCGCCCTCGTGCCGCATCGCCCGGCTCGCGGCGCCGTCCGTCGCCTCGTGCCTCTGCCGCATCGCCTCGAAGCTCGACGCGCGCACCGCCGCGTCGAGCGCGGCGCCGTCGGGCTGCACGCCGAGCAATCCGGCCACGCGCGCCACCTGCGCCTCGACAACGGCGGGGCTGAGGCCTCCGGAGGGTGGCGGTGCGAGCAGCCCTACTCTCCGGCCCCGCCTGCGCCCGTGTGTCGGCGCACAAGTCCTCGTAGCGGAGCAGCAGCACCTGCTCACGCCGATGCGGGTCCGAGGCGAATCTCGAGGTCTCGCAAGCGGCGCGAGCTCGGAGCTTGCCTGCCCCGGACACGCGCGCGCCACGTGCCACCAAGCGAGCGTGTGCTCGAACCTACGTGCGTGATCTTGTGCCATACCGCCAGGCGCTCGTGCCCTCGAACCAGTCCGCCTCTGCGCTAATCTCGGCTACTCTCTGCTAGTCTCAAACCAGTCCGCCTCCGCGCTACTCTCGGCTACTCTCGGCTACTCTCGGCTAGTCTCGAACCAGTCCGCCTCTGCTCGCCGGCTCCGCGCGTCGGGCGCCGCACTCGGCAGCGGCGCGCTGCCCGCGAGGAATGCCTCGAGGAAGGCGTCCCAGCTGCCCCGGTACGAGACCGCCTTGAGGGCGCGCGAGTGGTGGTAGAGAGACACCGCCACGTCGCGCGGGTCCCGCACCACCACCACCACCGCCACGCCCGGCGGAGGGGCGCCGGCGAGGCAGCCGGCGACGGGCAGGCCCTCTGGCGGCGCGTGCGTCTTGAAGGCACGCCGCGCGTGTGGCAGTGCGGCGAGCTGGCGCAGCGAGAAGGCGCCTGGCGGGTGGGACGGGGCGTAGGCCGCCGGGGCGTGGCGTGGGAGCGGGGAGGGGTGAGCGTCAGAAGGGGGAGGGGGGGGTCTGAGGCGGAGCAGGGGGGCGGGGAGGGGGCGGAGCAGGGCAGAGCGGGAGCCCGCGCACCGGTGGCGACGGCCGCCTCGACCCAAGGCACGCGCGTCTGCACGTGGGCGTTCGGCTCGCCGAAGAGGCAGCAGACGATCTGCTGCAGCCAGGTGGTGCCTAGACGCAGCTCCGTCAGACGGCTCCGAGGCAGCTCCGAGGTGGGCAGGCGAGCTGCAGCAGCTCTGCTGGCGCCGGACTTTGGGAACGTTGCGATGAAGACGTCGCCTGCTCGCGGAAGGGATCAGCTCGGGGACTCTCGGGCAGCCTCGCGGAGGGAAGGCTGCTACGCCACCCTGCTCGCGGAGGCAAGGCTGCTCGCGGGTGCGGGCGGCGAGGGGCCGCCGTGGGGTGGCGGCCTCCGGAGGCGCCTCGGAGGCTTTGGGAGGGGGCGAGGCTCGAGGGTGCCTCCGAGGAGGGGGGAGGGCCGGGGGGGGTGGGAGAGGCTCGAGGGGGTGGGAGAGGCTCGAGCAGAGGCGGAGGCTTGAGGCGGGGAGAGGGTCGAGGAGGAGGAGGGGGGTGCTGCAGCAGCGGCGGGCGCCTGGCTTAGGCGCGAGACCGGACCGCAGTGCGGGAGCGGCGAGGGACGGCCGCAAGGCTCGCGCGCGCGGCTGGTCCGGCACGAGCAGCAGCGACTGCGCGCACGCCTCCAGCGCCGCGATCGCGTCGCCCGACTCGGCGAGCGCCGCGGCGCGCAAGGCCCATGCCGCCGCCAGGCCAGCCGCGTCCGACCTCGCTGCCGCGGTGATGGCGCGCGCCGCAGCCTCGGCGGCGCCACTCGCGTCGCCGCCGAGCAGCGCGACATCGCCGAGCACGGTCAGCGCCGTCGCGCTGCCGGGCGAGAGCTGCGCCGCGCGTGCCGCCTCCTCGGCCGCCTCCGAGTGCTCTCCCGCCCGGGCGAGGGCACTCGCGAGGTTGAGCCGCGCCTCGAGCGGGCCAAAGGAGGCTGCGCGGCGCAGCAGCGGCACAGCCTCGGCGACGCGGCCCGTCGCGAGCAGCGACTGGCCCAGGTTGGTCAGCGCGCCCGCGTGCGAAGGCTCCAGCGACAGCGCCGCCCGGTAGTGCGCCTCTGCGGCGACGTGGTTGCCGTCGGCACTGGCCAGCACGCCGAGCACAAAGTGAGGCTGCGGGTGCCGCGAGCCACCGCCACGCTCCACGAGCGCGGAGCACACCGCGCGCGCCGCGTCGGGCTGTCCCGCCTGCGCCAGCGACACCGCCTCGCTAAGGCGCTGGGCGACCTCGGGCGGCATCGGCGGCGGCGGCGGCGGCGAGTAGCCGGCAGGCGAGGACGAGCCGGCCCGTCCGTGAGCGGCCGCGGCGATCGGACGGCACGAACTGCGCGGCCGCCACTCCGCTCGCAGTCGGGTGCGTGCGCAGCAGCGGAGCGGGTCGCTCGAGGACGTTATGAATGGCATGAGTTAGTGGCCAGTCCCATCGCAGGGTTCCGGCTCCTCTTAGCTCCGGTACTCTCACGAGGTTGATATCCTTTTTGGTGTCCAGTCCGAGCCTGGCTGTTCTTCACCTTTCTACCTACCTACCTATCCTTTGGCCGCGTTGGGTAGCGAGGATTGGTGTCACGCGATCCACGCAGGCGTGGTTTCTGACGGCCGACCGTCAGTGCACGGAGTTGCCCCTTCTCCGACTGCCCCGGCTAGTTCACGAGTACCCAGAGGGGGTCTGTGCGCACGGTTAGACCCTATGCAATAGGTAGGTAGGTCCGGTTTTGACCGCCCCAGAGGGCCCCGCAATAGGTAGGTAGGTGGTGGTGTGTTTGGGGGGGACAGAATCTGATAAGGCGAGAATCGGGCGGACAGAATCAGATCGATTAGGCAGAAACGGAAGCTGGATGAGGAATCCTGCCCGGAGGCTGAGTGCGTGGAAAGGGGACGGGCAGAATCAGATCGCGTAGGAAGAACCGGAAAAGGAGAGTGAGAATCAGAAGAAACGGACACGAATCCCTCTCGAGCCTCCGCATACAGAATCCTGTCTTGGGTGGCAGAATCGCTAGTGCAGAATCCTCAGGCGTGGACAGGGTTCTCCAAGACTGACCCCCCCCGAGCAGCAGCGTTTTGTTGTTGGGGGGGTTGGCCCCCCCCCCCCCCCCCCCAGCAGGAGTGCTCTGCTGCTGGGGGGGTCAGACCCCCCCCCCTAGCAGCAGGGATGAGCTTAGTTGTGCAGGGGGGGTACCGAGCAGTGAGCGGCCGCTCCTATCCAGTCTTCCAGTGCTCAAGTGCTCAACAACTTTTGTTATTCACGACCTCGAGTGGCAGCTGGCGCGCTCAATGCCGGGGTGCGCACAACAAGAAGAGGGGGGTTATTCACCCGAGGCCACCCGAGATCACCCGAGGTCACCCGAGGTCACCCGAGATCACCCGAGGTCACCCGAGATCACCCGAGGTCATCCGAGATCACCCGAGCTCACCCGAGGTCAATAAAAAAAGAATAACAACAAACAAAACAAGCAAAAGAAATCGTCGCATCGGGGCAGAGGGGGGGGGGGGCTGTGACCCCAAAGGGCTAGTGAACACTAACCGACCCTGGTGGGCTGATCCTTTGTCAATGTTGCTGACGCCATCCAGCACCATCCATAGCATGTCTTGTCTCGTCGACAGAGCGTATAACAAACCTCAAAGCACCTTGTCGTGGCGACCAGGTGGCGAAGTTAGACATGGATGGATTGAACGAGCCGCGCTGCGCGTGACAAGACATCCGGTCGACAAGGACCCATGTTTCCGCCCTGCCCAGCGCCGCACCGCCCGCCCCCTACACCCTCCTCCAGCCCAGCCTCGTGCGCTTCGAACATGAACATGAGACCCCGGGGGGCGCGCGATGCGGGACCGCCTTTCTCTCTGGATATATCTGCTGATCGTTGTGAAGACTCAAGTATTGTGCACTATTCACTCGTTAGTGTGTGGGAACACTCTGCGGGTACTGGGAACACTGTCTGTATTAACATTTGTATACGACGTCGTTCAACACCACGGCCGCCCGCTACGTTAAGAAGTCACACGTCTCACAGTCAGACTCACAGAGCGGGCAGCGGCCAGGGCGGCGCAGGGCTAGGCGCAGGGCTAGGCGCCAGCGGGGCCCGGGGCAGATCCAGTTCCCCCCCGGAGCCCACACAGTTTGCCCAGAGGGGCAGAGCCCAGACGACTCGCGGGGCGCGAATCAAATAATTATGTGAGGGCGCGCTCACAATTTCGAGAGACGCAAACAAATCACATTATAATCATACACAAATAACTATCGAGCCGCTAGGGACCGCGGGTCTACCAGATCTCAGAGGCACTGCAACTAAGCATTGGGGCTCGTAGCTGCGCCGCCCCTTTACGAGTCTCGGATCGTGATGCGTCGTCCTTCGGATACTCCACTGCGATTGGCCAGATGCGCGGGTCGGAGTGGTCTCCGCTTAGTTAGTGGACAGCGAGCACCAGAAAAGAGGTGGAGGGTCAGCCGCGGTGCCCAACCACCTCGAGCAAGGAGGAGCAGCCGCCCTCCTCCGGCGCAGACGCGAACGTCGCGCCGGGCCGCGGCAGCACGAGCAACAAGTCGTCGAGCGACAGCTCAGAGTCCACACGGGAGGAGGTCGAGCCGCGCGAGACCGTGCCGCCCTCTCCCTCCTCCGCCAGGGCGCCGCACTCGATCGTCGACCGGCGCGGCTCAGTAAAGTCGGAGCTGCCTCCGCAAGTGTCGCTGCCGCTGCCGCCGCTGTCGCTGCCGCCGCTGTCGCTGCCGCCGCTGTCGCTGCCGCCGCTGTCGCTGCCGCCGCTGTCGCCGCCGCCGCTCCCGCCGCCGCCGCCGCCGAGCGCCGGCCGCCTCGACCGGCGCGGCCCGGTCCACAGCAAGGACCTCCAAGAGTCCTCCGGGTCCGACGCCTCGACCGGCGCCTGCTGCGAGGCCCACGGCGGCCGGCCTGCAGACAAGGGGAGGAGGGCGTCGCTTAGACTCGAGGCGAGGAGGAGGAGGAGACGCACGCGAGCTCCGTCGGCTCGCCTCCCGAGCCGCTTGCGGGCCCGCCCCGAGCGACTCCCTCCTCCGGCGGGGCGGCGTCGAGCGGCAGCCAGGGGAAGCCGCCCGCAGAGCCGGCCCGCGAGGCTGCAGGCGAGGCGGCGGCGGGGGAGGAGGCGGCGGGGGAGGAGGCGGCGGGGGAGGAGGCGGCGGGGGAGGAGGCGGCGGGGGAGGAGGCGGCGGGGGAGGAGGCGGCGGGGGAGGAGGCGGCGGGGGAGGCGTCTCCCTCGCTCGAGTCGCCCTCGTACTCGCACCCCGTCACCTCGACCCACTTGGAGCCGGCAGCGTCCGCAGCGGTGTCGACCCACTCCTCGGTGTTGCAGCCGCGCTTGCTCACTCCCCTGCGCCCAGCCGCGGCAGTGTGCGAGCGGCCTCTTTCTCTCGCGCGGCATGTGCGTGCATCCTCCGGCTCTCAGAGCTCCGGCTCTCAGCTAGGGGCGACCGGCTCGGAGGCGCCGTCCGGCCCGACGAGCCTCGCGCGAGCAAGTGCCGCAGCAGGATCTGCAGCCGCTCCGCGCGCCACGCCCGCCTCTCGCGCCGCGCCGCCCACACGACGCCGCACGCGACCGCGCCCGAGGAGAGAGCGAGGAGCAGCGAGGCGCACGCGACGCCTCGCAGCCACGCGAGCTCCGCCGAGGCGGAGGCGTCGAGCTCGCAGGCCAGCGCGAGCACCTCCCTGGCCAGCCCCTCCCTGGCCAGCCCCTCCTTTGCCACGGCCTCCTTTGCCAGGGCCTCCAGGCCGACGCGCAGCCGGGAGGAGGGTGGTCTGCTGCAAACCTCACTCGCAAGCTTGGGTGTTCCGGGGCCCGCAGGGCCGCTCGGCCAGCCCGGATGCGCTTCGCGGCGAGGGTGCGAGCCCGAGACAGAGCGGCGGTGCGCAGCTCCGACCCCAGGCATACCGAGGAGAGGCGAAGGCGGAGGGAGGCTCGGCGTCGGGGTCGCATGCGCTACCACACACGGAGGGGGGAGGGGGGCGGGCGGGGAGGCGGCGGGCCAGTCGGTGCCGTTCTTAGCAGACGTCACCACACGCCACCGCGGCCGCGCAATCGTCGGCCACATCCGGCGTAGCAGAGGAGGCGCATCGGCGAGAGGCGAGCGGGGAGGCGAGGGAAGCGGTGAGGCGCTTGTGTTTGCGGCTCTTGTGGCCCTGCTGGAAGCGCACGCTGGACTCACGAGAGGCAGGGCCCTCGTGATGCCAGCACCGCCACTCGAGTTGCGCAGGACGTCCGCCCGGGCGCTGCTTGTGTGGAAGGGTGAGCGGCGTGGGCCGGCGCGGAAGGCTTGGGTGGCGCGGCTTCTGTGGCGCGATCGTAGTCGCATCGCGTGGCCCACGTCCGTCACCCACAGCGCCACCTTGGTTCCGTGCGTCGGCGGGCGGGTTGGTGGCGCGAGCAGCCGAATATCCGGTGGCGAATCAAGAAGAGGAGGGATTCCCGCCAGAGCGGAGGCGTTGCCACTCGCCGGCACGTGGGAGCCACGGAGGAGCGCTCGCTCGAGTGGCGGCGGCGCGAAGATGAGAGCTGCCCCTGTTAATAAGCAAAGCGAGCCCGAGGCTGTTAGGGCGAACGATCCGTCGACTGGCGTTGCCCACATCCTGTCGCTTAGTACACAGGGCCAGCCGTCCAAAGCTGGGCTTCCCTGAAGGCGAATGAATCTCGTCAAATCTAAAAAAAAGGTGAGCGGTGAGACGGACTTGTGAGCCGGACACCCCCTCTTGTACCCTGCGTTGTTGAGCCAGGACTCAACATACTCGGGCTGTCGCCGTCCCAAACTGTCACTCCCCTCTCTCCCGGCCGGGGTGGGGCGCGCGCGGGGGCGGCGGGTGTGCGGCGAGTGTGCGGGATGTCTGTGGGCCCGAGAGCGATATGCCATGTCCGCCTTGCGTTGTTTCATAACATCGAAGGCTAAGCTCAAAAAAAGTCGCGACCCCTCGCCCGGGAGTGGGCTCTCTAGCCCGTAGCCCGATCCCGATCATCCGGCCCGCTGGGTGCGCTTCTTAGCTCCCCGGCCCTGGATGTGAGGCTGATGACTGCACTCCAAGTGCTCCAAGAGTGCGGCCAGCCTGTGCCGAGGTCGCCTTGCCCCAAGGCGACCCTCGTGGCCGCCAGCCGTGGCAGGTACCTCTGGAGACGGGGGTGGGAGGGGGGGGGGGGGGGCAGCGCGGCGGGCCGAGTTGGCCGGGAGTAAGGGAGGGTGCTGCTCTGCAGCTCTGCTGGCAGATCAGGCAGGTCGGCCTCCGAAGAGAGGGGGGGCGGAACGAGGCTTTGCCGCACTGTTGCGGTGCGTGCCTCTAGAGCAGGTGGCGCGGCCTGGAGTCGCGCGTGGGCCGTCCCAGCGAAAATGGAGCAGGCTAGGGTTGCGCAGCTATGAACAGGAGCGAGTTCGCGCTGCGCTAGGCTCAGACGGCGAGTTCGCGCTGCGCTAGGCTCAGACGGCGAGTTCGCGCTGCGCTAGGCTCCGCGAGTTCGCGCTGCGGGCTACGGAAGACTACGGTTGTCGTCGGACGTCGCGGGCGCCGCGCTGGTTCTTCAAAGACATATCATTCCCCTTTTCGAGCACACGCCACGTCTAAGTTTCTTTTTTGCCGTCGCGCTCTGCGGCCGGAGAGCGCGGAGAGGCCGGGCTGCTCGGCGTGAGGCGGGCAGGATATGGCGGGATATGGCGGGATATGGCGGGATATGGCGGGATACCGTCGGATATGGAGAGATACATCAAGCGATACCGCAAAAGAACCGTCCACACCAGGGCTGCGGTTAATATGAAACATCACGGGTGGGCTAGTAAACGTCAACCACTCTCGCGAGGCTCAAGGGGCCCGCCCCCTCTAAGGAACATGCCCCGCAGAAAACAACAGTATCACCACTGGTACGAAATTACGTAGAAGGGAGCACAATCGGATCTTCGTGAGCGATGCGCCCAATCAGAGTGAACGAGGTGGTCGGTGCGAGGACAGTCGAGTTGGATCCGTCGAGGCGTCGGCGCGTGGAGAGTGGGTACGGGTCGGCGCGGGCGTAGTCGACGGTGTACCCTCCCAGGTCGGCCAGGGCCGCGACCGTCACCCTCGAGAGGGGCTGCTCGAGGTGCTCCTCAAAATAGCCCGTCATGATCTCAGAGGCGACCGGGTCGGGAAAGGAGTGCTCGCTCCAGTGATGGCACTCTTTGCCTTCGCCGCCCGCCTCCTCCAGGGCCAGGCGCACTTCGAGGCCGAGCTTGTCGTACTCGGCGTGCGCGCGCGTGCAGCTGGCACTGTAGGCAAACCCGTCCGCGGCGGAGCAGAGGCCGCACCGCCCCAGGGAGCCCACGAGCCCTAGGGTGTGGCCCATCTCGTGCAAGACGCTTTGTTGTTCGACTCGCAGAGGACTAACCTTCTGTTGCAGCGAAAGGTCCCTCGGCAGCCGCTGTTCACCCACATCCTTTGCCCGTCGCACCCAAAAGTGCTTCCCTCGCTGCAGTCCGCCGAGCTGTGCTGCTCCCTGAGGGAGACGGAACACTGCGGCGTGGAGGACGGCGGCGTGGACGGAGGGGATGGCAGCGATGGGGGCAGCATGGAGGGTGGTGGCGTGGACGGGTAAGGCGGCGGCAGGGATGGCAGTGGTGGCGATGGGGCGGGGTAAGGTGGAGGCAGAGAGGCGCGTGGCGGAGTGGACGGGGGCGGTGAGGGGGGAGGCGAGCTGGGTGGTGGTGGAGACGGCGGCGGCACAGTCGGCGGCGAGGGCGGTGTTGGCGACGGCGGTGTTGGCGACAGCGGTGGCGGCGACGGAGGTGGCGGCGACGGAGGTGGCGGCGGTGGCGAGGGTGGAGGGGCTCCGTTGGTGTTGCGATACAGCTCGCAAGTGCCAGGAGGCAACCACTTGTAGCACTCACAGCCAACCTTGTTGTCACACTGATGACGGCAGTCGCTTTCCCTCTCATCGCGGCCGCTAAAATTCCATTTCTGCATGTTGACTTGCGTCTCAATGTGATCTGAACATCCCGGCGGCGGTGACGAAGGCGGCGGAGGTGGCGAGGTTGGTGGTAGGGGCGAGGGTGGGGGCGAGGGTGGCGGCGGTGTAGGCGGCGGCGGGAGCGGCGGCGGTGAGACTGGGCGGAGGAAGGGCATCAGTGGAGGGCCTGCTGGCTCGCCACTGCCGGCCTGGCCGCTGCCGGCTTCGAGGCTGCCAAAGTCGATGCCGCTGCCAGCGTCGCCAATGGTGCCACCGCCGTCCTCGCCACCGCCGTCCTCGCCGCTGCCGTCCTCGCCGCTGCCGTCCTCGCCGCTGCCGTCCTCGCCGCTGCCGTCCTCGCCGCTGCCGTCCTCGCCGCTGCCCTCCTCGCCGCTGCCCTCCTCGCCGCTGCCATCCTCGCCGCTGCCATCTTCGGTACTACCCGCAGCTTCTGGTGGCAGTGGCATCTGCTTTGACGGGATTTCCGTCGATGATTGGGGAGATGGTGGAGGAGGCGCCGATGACGACAGCGGCGGCAGCGGCGCTAGCCGAGGAGTCGGCGGGGGGTTGGGTGGAGGTGGCGTGGGTGAAGGAGGTGTTGGCGGTGGCAGCACCGGGGGTGGCCAGGGTGGAGGCCACAAAGGCATCTGCGAGGGTGGCGGAGGAGGCGCCGATGACGACAGCGGCGGCAGCGGCGCTAGCCGAGGAGTCGGCGGGGGGTTGGGTGGAGGTGGCGTGGGTGAAGGAGGTGTTGGCGGTGGCAGCACCGGGGGTGGCCAGGGTGGAGGCCACAAAGGCATCTGCGAGGGTGGCGGAGGAGGCGCCGATGACGACAGCGGCGGCAGCGGCGCTAGCCGAGGAGTCGGCGGGGGGTTGGGTGGAGGTGGCGTGGGTGAAGGAGGTGTTGGCGGTGGCAGCACCGGGGGTGGCCAGGGTGAAGGCCACAAAGGCATCTGCGAGGGTGGCGGCGGCGAGGGCGGCAAACACTCGGGACACCCCACGCAGGCTGGTCGCGTGCACTTGTGCAGCCACTGCAGGTTACCCGTGCACCAGTCAAGCTTGCACGTGTAGCACCACTGACCGCACATCGTGGCCAGATCTGGGAGAGGTGGAGGCTGTGCCAGCCCATAGCGGGACGGCGGTGATGACGAGTGAGATGCAGGCGGCGGCACCACCATCGTGGCGGCCGCGTGCAGCGGCGCGTGAGAGCGCTCGGCCAGGCTGCTCTTTTCGCCGTGGCGCAAATAATTGAGCCGACAAGGGCCGCCGGGCACGGAAGGCAGACGGTCGCTGCAGTTCGAGGATGAAGACGCTACAGTTCGAGGATGAAGACGCTACAGGCTCCGCGCTTGCCTGCGTGAGCGCGGGCAGGCGCCTGGCTGGCACTGTGGGCCGAGGACGTACGAGCTTGCAAAAGTCCTGTGCTTGGGTAATAATGCGAGACGCGTCCTCTCATATCGGACGCAG